ATGTAGAGACAATTGAGGAATGAAAATGGGCGTGGCGTAGCTGCTCCGGTGTATTTTAACTTGTGTTGACAAATTGTAGTACTTCTTATACTAAAAGCTTAGTCTGTCACGATTAATAGACACTTTCTGATACACGTGCAAAAAAGTGAATGTTTTATTGATATCGTTTACTACAATAAAACACTTGATACATTGGTTACGTAAAAAGCCGACAGAACTATACACATGGAATCGACATGAATAGACTCATTCAATCTTAAACATTTATTTAGACCAGCTATTATGCATACTTCAAATAAATGTTTTTGTCGTTGGTCACTGAACTATGATGAATTGGCTGCTAGCAGGTCATGTGGCTAGACGACTGTTGCATATCACAAAAAATTTGACAATGAAAGTAACCATTGCATACAAATTCATTGCCTTTTCGCATTGATCGAAACATGCTGACTGTACCTTAAAAGATTGAAATTAATCTTCATCAACTGTAACTAATAAAGAAAATTCTGTAATTTTATTAATGAAATGTTCTTTTACCTCATAAATCGTATTATGATAATTTCAATTATCTATACCTTATTATCATAAAAAAGAATGTGTTTAACAAAAAAAAAAAAAATGCTGATAACAATAATACTGACTTTGCTTTCATAGACAAGTATATCAATTGATTTTTTTTCTTCGTCTTCGTTTATAATTAATCTTTTCTGTTGTCATCTATAGATTGTGAGATCTTAAAGAGGATTAGAATTATATACAAAACAATATTAATATCTTTCACTCTATTTTGCCTATATTTAAAACAATCAATAAAACAGACGAAATACACACTGTTTTATAATAATCAATACTTTAAATCTTTGTCATGTATAACTATGTAAAAATTTTACAAATTTGATCGATTACTTGAGTCGTAAATAGAATAAAACTTTCGTTCATATTCTTTTCTGCGGTGGAATAAATTAGTCATTAATAAACTTAACCATATTGGAAATATCTAAAACTTCTGTTCATTCATAGGGTCATATTCACACATTAGTTTTCTTGAAATAACTAACAATCAAGTTTTTCAAAATGTTTGAAGAAGAGAAAAAAAAACATTTCTATTGTAATCCTATTATCTCTTTTTCTTATCCAAAATATTTGATACCCAAATCTCGAAACGTTTTAATCGCTGAAATATTTTTATTAATAGAACAAAATATGAGATGTTCGAACTCATACGAAAAAAAAAGAATACTACTGATCGATACAATCACAATTCTCGAATGCTTTCTTGTCAAGAATCGATAGTTGATATTGGCAAATGATGCTCAAATTTATATCTGCAATGAAGCAGATATTTTTTTAGTATAAAATTCCAATAAATACAAGTTCTTTATCGATCGCTTTAGTCTATTTTGTTTGATGTATTTTAGATTAGTATCTAATTTGTACTCAATCATTTTAAATAAATTTTTTAATATTAATATTGACATATTATTTGTTTTAAGCAAACAGTGTTTCAGCTATACATATTAAAAAACAATGCATTACAAGATAAATTTCAAAACTTGTGAGCGAATTCGCCTCGACACTTGATATAATTAAAACATTCTTAATGTTCTTGCTTTTTTTTTAATACAAAAAACTCACAGCTTGCCGTAGCGTTCAGATATTACTAAAAAAGATTTATACTCAAAGAACTGAAATCTTCAGAGTCACACATAGGTTCCCAAAACATCCAACTTGCTAAAAAAATCAAAGCAAAATTTATCATTTTCGTTGTTGTTTACTTCGCATACTACACATAGTTTGTGATCGATTCATAAGAATGGATATTTATCACAAATCACATAAGACAGGAAGATAAAAAAAACACCATTGTGTACAATCCAAGTCATTCTCTATTATTCTAGCTTTTTTTTCTCGCCCAGATAGGTTGACCATAATCAGTAGTACTGACATAAACTTGAAGAATATGAGCTTTTTTTTCAAATTTTGATTTAACGATTTAGGTAGATCATCTTTTGTAGAAAGATAATTTGAATTCTTCATCAGACTTCATATGTTGTTTCAATAGTTGTCAAATGATAAACCGTACCAAACAATCATTCTTCTGTTCTCATCAGTGTTAATTTTTTTTCGAAAACATTTTCTAAAATATCTATACGAAAAGTTACATTAATATAGTTTCCCATCTGATATTCTCGATTAATGTCAGATCAACCGAGAGCAAGAATTTACTGTATATTTTTGTGAAAAATTGATTTTTGAAGTCGAATTTATCGAGAAGGTCACATTAAGAGGTATTAAAATATTACTATATAAATAATACGAAAGAAAAAAATGCTTCTTTTCTAGATAAAGAAAAACGACCAATGATGTTTTTTTGCTTAAAGGTAAATCGATAATTAATTACTATCAATCATTTTATCAAACACGATATTGATAGAAATATACAAAAATTTATTGTATAAATTCTTTTTACAAATTACCATCTTTAATAATACAATTCATTAAAATAAACATACTCTATTTTTTTCTAATTAGAATTCAAGCAAATAAAAACAATCGTATTTTCATTTCCGATGAATTCAATTCATGTGAAGCATTTTAAAATATATATATATCAATCGTTCAAGTGTTCTATTGAACAGCATCAATTTTCAGGAAAACAATAGTTTCTTTACTTAATTCATTCATTCTCATTTTCCCCTTAGGTAGATGTAAACACTTGAGTTTTTTGTTTGTATTTCTCCTCTTCTTTTTTCGTCCTGCATATCTTGCGTGTTCAACAAATATACAATCACTCGTTTTGTTTGTACTGAATGGACAGAAATCAAAGTGTACACGAAAAATCTTTTCATATATTATGTATTCTGTATCATGAAGTGTATATTTATCGAGATTCACCCATCACACGAATGTGTCATTCTTTTTTTTTCTGATGTCTTCCCTTTTTTCTTTTCCAAGGAGAAGCGGGCTATATTTTCAGCATCATTATTATAATTGATCAAGAATAAAAGCCTCTACATGAATATACGAAATAAAATTGCTAACATTTACTACAATACAATTATCATTGATAAAACAGAGAAAGAACATTTCGCATATATAGTAATCGTGAATCGACGTTGTATATAAGTGAAGAAAAAGAGAATAAGAGAGGAAAAGACGAAAGCGAGCACGAACGAAATATAAAGCAAATAGTCTTTCTATTTAGCTTGTGCATGTGTATGTGGAGTGAAGAGCAAGGAAAAAAAAGAAAACACCTTGGTCGTATTCGCTCTTTGGTAAATAGGCACGTCAGTCAGCAACTATTTTCGTCGTCAATTTCACGTTCTCTCTTATTTCGTTTTTTTCTCGCCAACGCACAACCGTTTGTTGGTCGAGTAATGATGGCTAAAAGTGTTTCACCGTAACATTTCTCTTCTTTTGCTCCGTGTATTTATATGTGCTCTTGTACTCTTCTTTTTTTATTCGTCTAAGCAAGCAATAGAACGAGAAAACGAATGTGTAGTGTTCCGTCTTTGAGATTCCTATTCCTCTTTGCTTTGCTTCTCTACATATATATATATATATATATATGTATAATATATAAGCATTTTTCACATTGACACATAGAACAAAAAAGCATTAGGTGCGTATATCTTAATACACGATAAGGTAGAACACCAAAATATGCAATAGATTAGATTGAGAGTATAATTTCTACTCATTTACTTGTCTCATTGGTAAGTGCAGAATAAATAGTAACTCTTTTTCTCGTTTGTGAAACATATTACCATATCACACAATGTAATTTTATTCTTCTCTACGATCTAGATGAGAGGAAAAAAAAATCTTAAATTTCGCACAATATCAGTTAATAAGAGAAATTTTCGTTTCTTCTAAGGCAAATACTTGAGAATTAATCGAAAAATTCTGAGAATAAGACAAAAATAACATAAATCTTCTAGCATTTTTTTTCTCGTTCTTTTCCAACTGTTAATCTGAAATTTACCTCAATCGTGTCTATTATAATTTCATTATTTAGATTATTTCGTTCTTTTTTTCTATATCTGATTCACATACAATTGTTGTTTCTCTTTCTCTCTTTCTTATTATAATATTTTCTTCGAGCAAGCCAATATATGATATTCAAATATAAAAAGAACACACATTTAGAGAGACGTGTGTCTCTATTGTTGTTCGTTCGATCTTTATGTAAAATGTCTGCATGAAAATTCATCTTGTATTCTCTTTCGTTCAAATTTCTATACATATACACTATGATGAATAAAATCGAGACAAGAAAAAGAACAAACGGGAAAAATGAATTTTACTATACCGACGAAATATCTTATGTTCATTAAAAAGAAAAAGAGAACAAGGTATAATAAAGTAAATATAAAGGAGAAGAAGAAAAGAAAAGAAAACGATGTAAATTTTCGAGCAAAAGAAAATTTCAATGTAGACACACAAGCATCTATATTTATATATTAAACGTGAAAAAAAAAAAGAGGGAACAGAACGCGAATGTTCGAGAGTTAAGACACTCTCTACTATGCTATCTTTCGTGTTTTATTTTTGACCGAGACAACATTTCATCGTCTTAGCATAAAAAAGGTCAACAAATGTGTAGTGATCCTTCATCTTTATGTTCTTTTTTATTTCTTTCCTATATCTCTATTTGAAGTAGATCTTTAATTGGAAAATCTTTCATTGGAACATAAAATATCATTTTATGTTGTTGTACATATGTTATTGTGTGCGTCAGGTTTTTTTTTCTTTCTTTGTTGAACATTCTTTTCCCTTTATTCATCGATCACTCACATACTACTTTTTTTTCTTTGTTACAAATCACAAAAGTTAGAATGACGAGATACACCAGCTGTGGAAAAACATCTGTTTCACATTTATGATTTTCATCTCATCATTTTTCTTTTCAGAAAATCGTTTTTTTCTTCTTTTTTTTCTTATTATTTCCTACCATTTTTATGTACTTGTTTCAAACGATTAGAAATTAAGCAAAGAAAATGAATTCATTGGAAATTCAACAACAGTTACTTGATCAACGACGTGGTCGTTATGTCCGTGTTAGTGATATTGATCGGCGGCAATTAATTGATACATATAAAAAAGGCGAAGATTTTATTGCACTTGCTAAAAAACTTAATATTAAACGATCAACAGGTAAAGAAAGAAACTGTTTTTTATGAAATAAGAGCAACATATACAATGACAATGATCAGTTTGATTTTGTTTTTTAACATAAAGAGGAGAAAAAAACAAATATAAGACACATGTCATTTATCGTTTTGATTTAACGGATTATTTCAATTCATCAAATAAGATAAGAGAATACGACACAAGTATGTTCCTTAATCTTGAAAAATTTTCATTTTTTTTTCAACGGATTTCTAGTGTTTTTGTTTTGCTAAACTATTCACAAGAAATCACATCACACTCCCACGAAAACCTGGTCAGCTTGAACAAAAATTGTCCTTTCAGTTTTTTGAGTAATTGCGCCCCCTCCTCCCCCTCTCACAATCCTGTCAACCTCGGGACACCTCTGATAGGCAAAAGTGAGAGACAATCACACCAGCTACAATTCAATGCATACTTATAGTGTAACTGCTCTTTCTACCTGTTCGACCTGAATGTATGTACACTTGGAGGTGGATATGCTACTTTTTCCGATAAGATAAATAACATATATTTCTGTTTTTCGTTCTTTCTCAATAATTTAATAAATAACTGAGGCTTCATTTTTTTTCTTCTATCTAGCTCGAAGTATTCTCCGAACATATATTGATGAAGGACGTGTATCAGCAAAACAGCGTGCTGGTACACGTTTACGTTTTATAACAGAAACAGAAGCTGAAATGATACGAGATATGAAACGTCGTCATCCATTAATAACAATTGGTCAAATTCAAATGCGTCTACAACGTACATCAAATCGTGTTTTAAGTAAAGCATCTATATCACGTATATTAACAAATAGTATACGCTTGGGTAAACGTGCTAAACGTTCAGTGGACGGTGAGGCTGATGAACAAGATGAGATAAATAATAATAAAATAATAATGAATGGACATGATGAACTTATGCAATTATCATCAGATGAAGGTGTAGCTGGTGCTATTTATATTGATGATGAAGAAGATGATGATGATGACGATGATGATGATAATAATAATAATGATGTTGTAGAAAATAATTCATCAATTCAAAATCTTGATGATTTTCAACGTTTTATGTTACGTAAAACAAGTATTAATGGAGATGAATCAACAGGTAATGAATACATACCATTTCATACGAAAGTTATTTATTAAAATCTATTCGTAGTAAAAAAAAATTTTGTTTTTTCCTTATTAAGAACAATTTGATGAAAATGGTAATTCTACATATCCAGCGTATCCTAGTGAAGATGAAGATGAAGTAAAAGAAATTTATTCAAAAACAAAACAATGAAACAAACTTTTTTTTGTTTTTAGCTATCAGAAATGGACGAAAATGAAACAAAATCTTCAATTGATCTTCCATCACATATTCCTTCAAAACAACCTACGATTGATGGTAAAGAAAAACACAACAAAAAAATTCTAAACATAATTTTTTGAATTATTTTTTTCAAAAGAAAATCCTCCAATTTCAAATAGAAACGAGAATTGGACTCCAGTAAAATCTGAACCTGTTTGTGTATTTGTAAGTCGTACATTTGATTCGTCTGATAGTGAACATCAAGCTAATATCGATGAAGAAATAGCGAAACCGTAAGTATCTTTATTCTCTCTCTATATATATATAATTATTTCATTTTTATGATCATCTAGTCATCTTAATACTCAATCCACAGCAAATCGTCGTATTAAAATGTGTCCAATATGTGGAGAACAAAATTTTTCTCGACTTTCTCATCATCTTACTGTTTCACATAATCTTAATCGTGAAGAAAGTTTAACATTACTTGCATATGCAGATCGAAATATTAGTAATAATAATAATAATCATAATAATAACAATTCATCGATAGCAACTGTAAGTGGTAGTTCACCAATAAATTCTTCAATAAATCGTCTTGATAAAAGTCCACAACAAACTCCAATTACTATTAATACAAATAATCAACAAATACCATCATCTGATTCATCACAACCAATAAATGATTCGGACAATAATAATAATAACAACAACAATAATAATAATAATTCAACAATAACAACAAGTTCATCACCTAATGACCAACAATCAACAAATTTTATACATATTGATGGTAAAAAACGTTTACTATGTCCACGCTGTAATACATGGGTTTTAAATTTAACAGATCATTTAATAAAAAAACATCATTTAGTATCAAAACAAGAACGTTTACCATTTTTACGTTTAGCACGTAATCGTCATTCAGTATCAAATATAGAAAAACCATCAACAAATTCATTTTTTATTAGTCCGAATGATCAACAAATAGTTGCGACTGCTAATAAAAAATATCAAAATATAATAAAAAAATATCGTAAACAAAATTTAAATTCTATACCAGTATCATCATCATCATCATCATCCATAACAACAACAACAATATCAAATAATGAAACATCATCAACAAATTTCAATCAAAATTTATTAACAATAAATAATAATAATAATAATATATCAAAACAAATTCTAACATCAAGAAATTCACAAACAAATAAAGATGTAAATTTTTTAAATCTAAATTAAGAAATTTTGTTATTTTTTTGTTTTGTTTTATAGTTAGCTATACATCAAAAATTTGAACAACGTTTATCTGTATTTCGTCAACAATTTGCTGTTACAGTTGCAATGCAAAATTCTCTAATGCAACAAATGGAAATATTACAAAGAAGTTTTGTTTCAATTGAAGATGAATGGAATGATATGAAAAAAGAAATTGTTGAATCTATATCATAAATAAAGAAAAAAAGAAATTTCTTCTTAGATCAGATATTAAGAAGCTGGTAAAACTAATGTTGTGCTAATAATAATTGTATATATATGCGCAAAACAAACAAACAAACCATATCAATGAGCAGTAGCTTGTTTGAACATTCCTATTACTTGTACCAAAAGACAGTGTGTTTGTTTGCTTGATTAGAACATTCCTTGTGTGTTTTTTTCTTTTTTTTTTTTATTTGAATGTAGTATCTGTATCATCTTTTGTTATTCAAAAAAATTGTCTAGAATGTTTTTGTGTTTTCCTTTTCTTTTTAATATTGACGAATAAAAAAAAATTTTTTTTTCAAGTTGATTTCATTCTATTGGTATATGTTGTTTCGAAGTCTGTTGATGTACGAAAAGAAAAGCTTCATTCGACACAATTTTGAAAGTTTTTTAAAAATTTGAAATAATTGATTCTTAGGATTGTTTGGATAGATTGTTGACACTATGGCCACTGATAGAGATTTAAGGAACTAAATGTTTTTTTAGTTGAAATTTCAGATTTAAGAAAACAAAATTGCTTTCGTCCTACGAAATCTACAAAAGGACATTTTATTATTTAGATAATTTTTAACAATGAATTTATAGAAAATGTTAAGCGAGTATTAATTATGATGTATGACATTTTCATTAAAATATGGCTGGATATTGTAGTGACAACTGTGCATGCCATTTATCGGCTTTCACAGTCCGTTAATAAACTATTTTAAGACCTTTTTAGAATGTTGTTGTAGATTAAATCTGTCCTCTTTCGATTGGTATCGCAGTTTTTGAAGAATATTCCATTCGCTGTCTTCGCATGTTGCACTAAACTACAACGGTAGAAAATGATTTTCCTTAAAAATTTTCTTCTTTAAAGACCTACAGTTTCATTTATAAACTTGTTGAGCTTATCGTATTTGATAAAAACTTACATACTGAAAATCTGATGTTGCACGTTTATTTGTACTATCGTCAGTAGTATGTCAGTAGCAGATTGCTGATCAGAGAACAACTATCGATATGCCGTGGTGAAATGGCGTTCATAACATGTAGTCGGCTGTTTAGATTCCAAATCACTACTGAACTGGGATTATGAAAAGAGTTCGTACTAATTACTCATTCCTGTTGAGATATTGTATTTTTACATTATTTTTTAGCACAATACAGTACAGTGACCTCTTCAGTAACATCAAGAAAACTGAGTTTTTCGAATTTCAATTCGAAACTTTGCATCAAGACACATATTAATGAGAATGATTTATTGTAAAACCTTCAGATCTTTTGCTTGCTTCTATTCTAAGCTATGACTATGATCCAAGCATGTTTTTCACGCCGCTCATATACAACGACAAATTCAATGTTCTTATTCCAGAGAAGGCACAATAAAAAAGCCTGAAACTGTTACAATAAACTATCTTCGTTAAGATCTGTTTCTTTACAAAGTTTCAAGTCACAATTGGATATTCAGTGTTTTTAAGGGAAACCACAACAATTTGCTCAAAAAATACGGTAAAGATACAATATTTCCGGAGTCATAAGTTATTTGCGCAAACTATTTCCATAGTATTCATAGTTTATTAGAATTTAAATGATTCACATTTTGTCGACTTAAAAGCGATTTGACATTTAGAAACGTTCTTTCTGAAAATGGTGTATTGATGAAGAGAAAACTTGATGCTATTTAAATTTATTTTTGACCTCGTAATGATTTAATTATGAATAACTTGAATATTCATCTTCTATTTTATGTAAATCTATTTCGACTGGGAACTTATGATGAGAGCCATCTGAAGAAGATGGCGTTAGAGGTCTATAATAAAAAAAATAAAACCAATTACCAGCTGATGTTGCACCAATCATTGCTGAGTAGCCTGACTCAAGAACAGAAATAGCGTCGTCATTTAGTTTTTTTCCTATTGTATCTATTCGATTTAAGAAAAGTCGTGAATATAAATGATATGATTGAAGTAATTGCAGAGATCTTGCGAGGTCCCGTATTTCTCGCAGGCGAAACTCTTCATTGTCGAATAACATTAACAAATAAATTATCGGATGAAAATGATTCAACAAATCATCAGTAGACAAATAAAATAAAACTAAATTATTTCTCATTTTAATATTTATTTCTATTTCTTAGAGGAACTCCAGAAAAAATTTCCTGGGCAAGTGTTCAACTACATTGTCAACGTTATGTAAATGAACAAAAAGTTAATTTACAACAACAACAACAACAACTATCGAGTACAAAATCGAATGATTCATTAGCCACTAATGTTGATATTGTTCCATTAGATTCAACTGCTTTGATTGCTACAAAAGGTGAAACTGGCCAAACAGTATATACATCTAAACCATGTGTACTGTTTTGTGATCTGACATTACAACCCGGAGAAACTCAAATATGTTTGTATTTATTTATTTTTATTAATAAAAAGTATATATGATTTATTATTTTTAATATATTTTAGTTTCTTATAGTGAAACAATTTCTACTCATGTACCTCCTACATTTCGAGGAAATTATGTTAAATATTCATATAAACTTACAATTGGTACACAACGGGTTAATCATCCAACAGCACTCATTCGAGTACCTTTTCGTGTATTAGTTGTACCAGGTATAGATTGACTTTGAAGAATAAAAAAAAGAATATATCTTAGGAAAATATTCTAGAAACTATAATATTCATATAAATATTTTTATTTAACAGATTTAGATAAATTTATTCGACAAGATAAAGCTGCAATAGCTTCATCTCAATCTGGCATTACAGTTAACAATCCATTTGTTTCTTGTCATCGTACAGAAATCGATTCTTTAACAACAGCTTTAGATGCTCTTCAAATTCTAACATCTCGAACACATCAAAGTATGAAATCAAACATTAAAAAAAACTTTTTTTTCTCTAACTTCTTATTTTAATAGATGTTTATAATATAACAAATAATCGTGGACGTGTTTGTCGTTTTACATTATTTAAAAATAATTTTAAATTAGGTGAAGATATATTAGGCATAATTGATTTTGATCATACAGAGGTATCATGTGTACAATTTACTGTTACATTGCAAAGTGAAGAAGTATTAAATCCACAATATCGTCGAAAATCCAGTCAATTACCTAATTTAACATCATTTACAAAACAATCGGAATTTTGTTTATCAACATTTCAAACATATTTATCTCTGTCTATTCCATTATCTTGTACACCAACATTTTCAGTAGATCTTGGTAAAAACAAAAAAATAATAGATGATTGAAAATTATTTAAACAAAATATTCATTCATTTTAGAGTTTTTTTTAAATAAGTGTGTAGAAATTTGAAAACGTTAGGTTAGTTTTCTTTACAAAGATGGATTCAAAGTTTTTGTAGAATTTTTGCTTTAGAATTTACAAACAGACCATTTAGAAGCATAAAAGCTAAGTTTGGATAAGAAAAATTGATTTATTTCGTTGCAATAGTCTCCTTTACTACATACGTTATATTACTGATGCTTTTTGTTGTATAGAATTAAAGGCAAAATTATTCTCTAGAAAGGAACATAAAAATTAAGAGTTTTAGAAATGGTCGAGTCTGTTTTTCATAGAAATCGAGAACATTCGCTATTACCAAACGACTTGACGCAAACTAATTATTACTATACCATTGTATTGAGAAATATTTGTTCTTTCATTAGCTGTAGTTGAAATAATTTTCTCTTCTATTTTGAGTAATTTCTAGTGTGATAAAGTTTGTCCAAACCTCTGAAAGATCGGCTCATAATTCCTAAATCAGAAGTCATTCAAAAATTTGAAATCTATACTCACTAACCCAATGTTTTCAAATTTCTTACGAAGACTGGAAAAAAAATATATGAATATTTTTTGTTAAATTATTAATCGATTACTTGTTATTTAATTAAAAATAATCTTTTATATTATATTTATTTAGTTGCATTACGATGGAAATTACATTTTGAATTTGTTATATCAAAAAGTCCACGTAGTTTATTACCAATAAATAATGATCCATCAACAAGTACAATATGGTTACCAGCAAATTCAATTGATGTTGAAAGCATGACTTGGGATTTAGGAATAAAAATTTTACCAACAAATCCATGTTTTGCTAATAATGTTGCGAAAATTTCTTGTACAACAGTTGCTACTATTTAATTTTTATTTATTTCGGGGGAATATATTTAGAATAAATGATAAAATAATTTAAACAAAAAACAGCACAAGATTAGATATTTCACTCTGTTTTTTTTTCAGATGCATTCTTTTTTATTCGTTGGTCATCATAAATCACAACCAACACAAGATTATAGTCGAACATCGAATATTGTATGTTGAAAATATGATAACGCATAATGATGTGAATTTATTTCTATTATTTATAGAGTAGTAGAGATGATTTTATTAAACGTACAGAACAAGAACGACAAAAACGCGAAGTAAAAATTGTTATTTAAATCTTTATTTTTTGATTTTACTGTTCGTTTTTTACTTTATTTTTAGTTGAATCGAAAGCAATTATACGCAGCGATTAAAATTCAAACTTTTTATCGAAGAATATTAGCACAAAAGCGCTTGGTAAGTGTCGATAGCAAGTCGAATAACTTACATTAATGATACTTCCATAAATCGATTTTTTTTCCTGTAATAATCAACACAATTTTTCATGTTTCGAACTACATAAAGACGAACGAAGCTTTCTCCTATCGTGTTCGATAATTCTTGAAATTTCATTCACGCGTTCGAACAAATATGTTTTTATCTTCTTTTTTAACATCGTCAAAAGAAAGAAAGTAAAAAAGAACAACTCACATGGAACTAGATTAACGCTATGCTTCTCACAACATTAACAACATGAAGATAGTTCGTAGGTTTTATTATGTAGTCGACTTATCCTTTAATATGTCAGTCAATAAACTTTGTATTAGTACTCGACTCCTTCTTTTTTTTTAGCAATGAGCGTTAAAGACAAGAGAATTACAGTAATAAAAATTGAATCGAATATGAACAACACAATTGTCTATAGAGTAAATCTAAACTCGTTTTAATTTAATCGAAATCTAGTGAATGGTTTTTCTATATAATTCAGAATTACTGAATATTTTACTTAACTGACTATTTAATTAAGACTGTCTTCGCAATACAAGATTCTAGGTTTTCTATTGTGGTCAATTTTTTTTCATGGTTCCTGATCAAGAAAAGGTTTTTCTGAAAGACAATGTGATTTTACAAATTTAACAAATGATTTTTAGGGTTTTAGAAGTTCAGAAATAATTTTGACCACAAGCGTTTAAAGTTTTCAGCCTAAAATCCTGAAAATAAGAGCATAGTTTAATATAAATATTCTAATTAAAGTTCCAGATTTTTGCGAAATCATTTAATTAAGTCAGATCTTCTATTACATTCGATTCGTCTTTCTTCAACAGTGATTTCTATGACTGAAAGATGTTTAGACTTTTTGCCAAACTCTTCTCTTACTTAACAATAAATTCTAACGTCTTAGCCTTTTTTTTTTAATACTTAATATTTATTTTTAAGACGCAATTATCTCGTGAACGTATATCAAAATTACTAATTCAATTTCAATCAACATCATTCGATGAAGAAAATCTTATACATCTAGCAAATTTAATTGAATTTGGTTTCAAACCAAATATTGATGCTCAACTTATGGTAAATAAATAAATAAATAAATAAATAAATAAAATTTTCATGTTTCCTTTTTTTTTCTCTTAAAAAAAGATGTCATTAATTGAATCATGTTGGAAACATCGTCAAGCAATTATTGGAAAACTTGCAAATGGCAATTCATCATTAAAAATTGCAATTGCCAAATTATTAAAATTTACAGTCAGGTAAATAATTCCGATAAAATATATTTTAGAAAAGAAAAAAAAAACAAAGCTGATTTTCTTTTTAATTAGATGTCTTTCTTATTTTGAAAATATTCAATTACCAACACGTTTTATTGAATGGTTTACTGATATAAAAAGTTATACAAATGAACAAGTCGTTTTTTCTCAAAATTTACAAACACTTACAAGTTATTTTTTAAGAAATATTATTCGCAATGGTAAAAAAATTCATTTCAAAGAAAAAAAAAGAAATTAATTAATATACAAAATTTTTGTAGGTTACTATACACAAATGTGTTCTGTTATTCAAACAAAAGTTCCCGCAAATGTTAGTAAAATAAGTCGTATACCAGCTATTGAACCAATTGTTGATTTACTTGCTCGACCTATTGAATATCAATTAACTGATTCAACCATTAGGTAAAGTAAAAAATAAAGATTTTTTAATAATTAATTATTTTTTTCTGTTGTAGAGATGAAGCATTATATGCTCTTCGTAATGAATTATTTTCTCGTTCGGATCTTACTGCATTACCATTAATTATAACTCCAACGCTTGTTCGTCGTCCTAATTTTCCTACTAAACGTTATATTGAATTAATTGATTTTAATCCAACATTTCCAATTGATTCTTTATTATATAAAAATTGGAAATTATATCAATTATATGCATTGCTTTTAATTGTTGATAGTCGAATTGAAGAATTACCAATATCATTAACTAAAAAAGTTGTTACAGTTATTCGATATTTTAGTAATGTTTTAATTACAAGAAAAACTTCGAATAAATTATCAACACATAATGATGAAGACGATCAAGATATTGATGAACAAATGGATGTTGATGGTGGAGGAAGAGTATGTTTAATAATAAATTCAGTTATAAAAAACAAACATTCATTATGAAATATAGTTTTTGTTTAATGAATAATGTAAAAGTTCTGCATTAATTTTGTTTTCAGTATAATGTGACAATAGCTCGTCTCAGAGGCTTGATCATTTCCTTATTAGAGAGAGAAATATTTTTCATTTGAAATACTTACCGAAGGTTAAAGAAGACGTTTAACTGAAAAAGAATCTTGTATCTTTATATAAAATCAGTGATGAGAAAAACGTACGATCGATTTATGTTGTATTCGACCTTTTGAAATTTTTAGACTTGTTATGAGGAAATGATTTTATTAACAATTTGATTTTCTGTCTACAGCGCCTAATAAAGTTTTTCTCATAATGACTAATATTCTTTTTTTTTTGTATACAATGTGAGGGCTCGCAAAAATTTAATTGGATTTAAAAATATGGTGTTTTAATAATCTTGATTACTAGAAAAAATCTTAATTTTTGAAATTAATTACTAGTTGTGAATACTTTTCGCGAGCAAATGCCGTTAGGAAAATGTCAATTTGAACCCTTTAAATAGCATGACTCCGCTAGTGAGAAAAACATCGTTCTAACTTCATATTTAAGACACTTATTATACACTATTGATACTCTTATCGAAGATATTTTTTTTTTAAATTTTGAGAATTAATTTCATCTATATATAACACTATGTTTTGGCTTTAAATAAAATTCCTAAAAATGATGCATTGGTCATCTTTCACAAACTTATGAATTGTACTACCTAATTAACCTTGCCCGTGTTAAAATTTTTACATGGACGTTTTGAACCAAAATGTCGTCTATGTCATAGCGAAAACTGTGTCTCGATATTATTTTACGAGTCGTTCAAGAATTAAGAAACTTGAAAAAAAAACCGTATATTTTCATGTACGATAGTACTGAAAGGATTAACTGCTTACAATATCCTATCGTACCGCTACAAAAAGACGCAAAAAAAAATAAAACTAACTTACTTAGTGAATGGAAGTTTTCTTCTAAATTCCAGAAGCATGCAGAAAACTTTTACGGTGAAACATGTTCTTCAATTTTTGGTAAGTATTTTGGATGAAATATTTTTACACAGCTTTGTAGTAAACACTTCGCTCTTTCTCTAATAAGAAAGCTGTTGTCACGCTATACTGAAAACAAAATGAATGTAGAACTTTTGCACTATTCGTTATCTTATATTCTCAAAAAGAAAAACAATCATTGATGATTAAAATTTTTCATTTCCGTTAGAATAGTTAACAAATATTTTGTTAATTATTTAACAAAATAAAATAATCTTTTTCTAGGATGAACCTGATTATGAACTAATTGAAGATTGTTTAACAATATTAAATAAACGATCAATTACAAATTATTGTATACAAATAGCAAATAAAAACATACAAATATCAACAGAAGATGATGAATATATTGCAAATTTAGCTGGTATTGCTCATAGTCTAATTCGTGAATATGAATCAATACTTCATTCGAAGTAAGAATTAAAAACTTCTTAAGAAAAATTAATTTTCTATTTATATTTATTATTTAGTTTTTTAATGAGTTTAAGTACTTCATCATTATTTCTTGCACATTTATGGTTAGTTTGTCGAACACTTAAATATCAAACTGATTATCGGTATAAAATAATAATCTTGAAATTTTTCAAATTACAATTTTCTTTTTTCTCTTTTGCAAAATTTTCTTTAGTGAAAATGTTCTTCTTCTTTCACATATATCTTGTGCAAGTTCATCACTTAAAGATACTGATATTGATCGTATTGAACCATTACTTGTAACATTTTGTTCATTATATAGCATGTCACTTGTACCATTACATGATGATGAGTTTTTTCTTGGACCACCAAATACAGCATTTCAAATTCATGAAATATCAGATATGGTTCGAACATTACGTGATGTATGTATGGGAATTGTTAGATTTATGTATCCAGAAAAACAAATAACTATTCAATCAATAAATACAATTGATGAAAATGAATCTCAAACGAAAGGAAATCGAGCACAGAAACAAGCAGAACTCATTCGACAAAGAGCATCGAAATTTTCAATGATTTTTAAAGTAAAAGAGACTATTCTTCCATTATATTTGATAGATTATTGAAAATAATTTTTTAAGATTATTGTACAATTACTTCAACAACTTCGATCAAGAGATGTACGAAGACAATTTTGTCCAAGAGAATATTGGTTAACAAATCAATGTCCATTGCATTTGGATAAGGTATTTAGGCACACAATAAAAGAAATATTTTGAAGATGTTTTTGAAATTTATAAAAATTTGATAGAAATATACAAAGAAATTTGCCTTATCTTTTTGTATAAAATTTGCTGATAATTATATGATAAAAATGTAACATTAAGAAGTCTGATTATGAATTTTTCTAACATTGTTCAAATCCAGATAGTGATTTTGATAACCATTATAGGACTCTATCCAATGTATCCTATACTAAGATTTCACAGATGAACTATGATAACAAAGCTTCTAAAAAAACAGCCACAGTAGTTCTCAGGTGCTAGAAAATTTTGTCGCACCTTTTTTTTAAAGAAAATATTCTAAAGAATGAAAAATTCTAAACAACATGAGAGGCCACCGCATTGTCTAGGACCTACCCTTAAAAGTATTACGAAAAAACGAAATTTGTAAAAGACGGACTAAAATGCTATTTTTTTCAGTTTTTTGTGATACTTTTAATTTTTTAAGGGAAGGTGATAACAAATGCGACTATCCTTCATTTTGTTCTCGTTAAAATGGAGTTGTTAAAGAGTAGCTCGCATAAAGTTTTCTAACACTTGAAAATTAACTTTTTCGATTTTTTTTGGAATCTTGTCTTGATAGCTCATCTGTGAATTCTTGACATAGGATGCATTAGATAGAGAATCTCATTAACTATTAAAACCACTATCTGAGTTTGAAATAAGTGTTTAATATTACAGAAACAAAAACTCAAAATTAAGTTGTTGTTTAACTCTTTTTCATCAGCGTATTTTCAAGAATATAATCATAAATTTGAATGTGTTTAGATTTATTTATCTCCATTTGCTCTTGGTCTATCTGATCCATCACTTTTATCATTGGATACTTATCAAAATCGTGATAAAAGTAAGATTATATTTTCTATATTAATATATTTAATATTTCTATTTTATTAGCTGATGCATTTCCATTTTCTGTAAACGAACTTCGTGTATTAACTGTTCTAAAACAAATTCCATTTGTTATACCATTTGATAAACGAGTTCAAGTATATATAAATATATATTTTCTTTTTTTATTTGAAAATAAAACAATATTTTTTTTTTTCTATGAAAGATTTTCAATATGTTAATTCAACAAAATAAAAGTGAACAACAACAAGGTGCTGAATTTCTTCAAAATGGGTCATCAATAAATATTCGTGTTCGTCGCGGTTATATTTATGAAGATGCTTTCGAGAAACTTAGCCCACAAAATGGTAAATATAATCTATGTTGCGAAAATCTTAGTACATTTTCGTTCTTTTCAAACATGTGTTGAGAATTATCAGATTGTTCTAGAATAGTGATTGTACAGAACACTATTATGATCAATTTTCTATTACGATTAAAATCTATTGAATGCAAAATGAGGAACTGTTTTAATTGTTCTTCAAAGCGTGTTGTTTGCTTTTCTATTTTAACTGACATAGGAGATTATAAAACTTTTAGTATTTTTGAACGAGCGATTTTGGATTAATGCCGATACTCACAGAAATTAGCTCTTTAGTGGAAACGCACAGATCTTACGTATTGTAATATCTCATTTTGTACAGAATTTAATAATGTTGGGTTGAAGCTGTTATAACACACAAATTAAGGACTTCGCTAAAATCACTATTTTATTTTGTATAGTCAAAGCGTTGATCTCTTTCAAGAAATTTACTAATAGTTATTCAACCTTACCCTAGAAGAGAAATCTGCGCAAATATTCTGCAATAGCAAAAAATTCTCTTCTAAATAATTAACATGATATGTTACTTTTTTTTCTAGAACCAAATCTTCGACGTAAACTTCGTATAAGTTTTATAAATGCAGTTGGTCTTGATGAAGCAGGTATTGATGGTGGCGGTTTATTTCGTGAATTTATGAATGAATTACTTAAATCATCATTTAATCCTATACGTGGTTTATTTAAATTAACAAGTGATGGTTATTTATATCCAAATCCAAATGTTGCTTTTATTGAAGAAAATTTTGGTCCGCATTTTTATTTTCTTGGTCGTATGTTAGGAAAAGTAAGAAATGAAAAGGGCAATAGGAAGTTTTGATTTATTTATTTGTTTACTCTAGGCAATTTATGAAAAATTTCTTGCTGAATTACCATTTGCAACATTTTTCTTACAAAAAATTTTGTCACGTTCATCAGGAAAAGTTGATATAGATCATTTAGCTTCATTAGATCCTGAAATGTATAGAAATTTACTTTATTTAAAAAACTACAATGGAAATGTCGAAGATCTAGGTTTAGATTTTACAATTGTTAATAGTGAGATAGGTCAAACACAAGTAAATTAAATAGATAAAACCTAATTATTTTACTTTAAATATTATTTTATTTATTTAGATTATTGAATTAAAACCAAATGGTCGTAATATAGCTGTTACAGATGAAAATCGTATTGAATACATTCATCTTGTTGCTAATTATAAATTAAATAAACAAATTAATGAACAAGTTTTAAAATTTCGTGAAGGTTTATGTGATGTTATCAATATTGAATGGTTAAGAATGTTTGATGCTAATGAATTAAGAATATTAATATCCGGTGCACCAGGAGAAATTGATGTTAATGATTGGAAAAATTATTCTCAATATAAATGTAAGAAAAAGTTTATTTAAAGAAAAACAAGAAACTTATTTTTTTTTAATTTTAGCACCATATCACAAAGAACATCCTGTTATACAAATATTTTGGAAATGTGTATCTGATTTTACAGAAGATCAAAAAAGAAAATTATTAAAATTTACAACAAGTTGTTCGAGGCCACCATTGTTTGGATTTAAAGTAAATATTATTAAATGAATATTAACTTACGAGCGAACTATTCTAAATGTTAAAGTGGTTTTGAGTCGGAACTGTGTGCATTATTTAGTTTCTCATAAGCTATGAATACTCTGAAAAAAGTTCGGGCTAATAGCTTATTATTGTCTGAGTACTGTATTGTTGCCTTAGTTTTTAGCAAATATTCGTAATCCAAAAATACACTATCCCAACAGCAGTAAACTATTAGTTCAAACTCTTTTTTGAGAGTATCTATAGTTCATTAGAGCCTGTATGATATGCATAGTCTCGACTAAAAAAGGATTTAACACTTAGAAATGTTTCTTCGTTAGAAACAATAACATAATGAGAGAGTGAACAATCGGTGATTTTTATTCGTTAGAAATCACATACAGGCTGTTAATAATGATCTTTAGTTTTTCTTTCAGAAAAATTCCTACATGTCTACTTTAAATTCTACAGTTTAGTCCTATCTCAGAGTTCAAACAAAAAAAAAACTTATTGCTGAGTTCCTCGATCGAGACTCAAACTTCTCTTCGTTGAATTTATTAGTTCAGTTATACGAATAGCTTTCAGTTTTTTTCTCCAACGTGAGAGCCAGAAGAGTAGAGTCCCTTTAAAATTCGGATTGACTCTTCCGGAAGAGAAACTCTGGATAAAATACTGATAGCATTGTGAGGCAAATAATAAACATTTATGAACAATTTTTGAGTCTAAATATAGGTTTTTTAAGTTACAGATGAAGTAGTCAAATATGAAACTGCGTAAATCTATTTCGATTAAGTCTGAAAGAAAATAGTTAAATTTATTTAGCTTATACTTTGTATATTTTAGGAATTGTATCCTGAGTTTTGTATTCAATCGGCTGGTTCTGAAATCGATCGTTTACCAACATCCAATACATGCATAAATCTTTTAAAATTGCCTGAATATGCAGATGAAAATATGCTCAAAGAAAAACTGTTATATGCTATTCAAGCAGCTGCTGGATTTGAATATAGTTGAGGAAAAAAATTTCTTTTGTTTCGAAGTTTTTTTCATCATGTTTCTTTGTCATACATTTCAGTGAGCTGTTTATAAAGATTTCCTTTTGTGTGTATTTATAATTTGGCGCGTGTTTCAATTACATATCTATATAAAGATAAACTGGAAATATTTAAATAAAAGAAACACTTCTGAAAATGTACATGTTCATTTAAATTCAATGTTGATCTAATTGAAAGATAGTCGGTATTACAATGAATTTCGAGGAAAATCAAACGTTGAATTTATGAATAATTTGTCTCACAGGATCAAGAACATTTTATAATAGAAAAAAAAACATCATTCGTTTTGAATTTAACGAGGGAAAAAACTACAAACTTCAAGCCTAGCGTCTCAATTGCTCCATCTCCTCCAGAGTTTATTATCAGATACTTACCGATATTGCTAAAACAGATGAGATTTGATTTGAATTTATTCTGAAAATTTTAGAACTAGACAATATTATTTCTCCAGTTTGAAATTATTTTTATTTTGAACTGTTATTTGTCATGTCAACTAGTGAAGACACTAGAATAAATTTTAAAAAAAGAGAAAAAACAAGGATTAAAGAGAACAGAACAGAATTGAAATAACTCAAAGAAAAAAGAAAATCTGAATTTGTTGGAATAGCAAATAGTAGAAAGTAACAAATATAATAGCACAGAGAGAAAGACAGAAGAAAAAAATAAGTTTGAATGAGATCAATTTTTTTTTGTTGGTATTTGTTCTTTTATGAAATGCCACTTATATATAGATGTTGCAAGTAAAATTAATTCTATTGCTTTAAATTGGCAACGGAAAAATAATCCTAATAATTCTGCGACAAAAAGGACAATCAAAGTATTCCTTTGCTTCTTTCAATATTGGATAGCATTTGTCGCAAATACAATGACCACATTTCAGATCAATACCGTCATCACTGCTTGCAAGAATCCAATTAACAGGATTCGCGGCACAGATTTCACAAATGCCAAAATCAAAAGGTTTTTCTAAAACAAAGCATAAACAATTATAAATGCACTAAAAAATGCTTCTCAGGGAGACATGCTTCTTTTATCCCAAAAAGACTTCGGTTGTTTTTGCAAAATTAAGCACAAGCCCATTTGATTGTATTTTTCTCTTAGGCTTTGCTTGTGGAAAACTTTTCTTTTAAGGCTTTTATTTTCTTATATCTGATTTTTTGAGCGATATATAGTCATTTCTGAGCAAATGCAAGCTCTTTTTGACCAGAAAAGTTGCATGTCCACCTGCTTATGCGAAAACTCCTCCCCTGTTTTTTTAAAATTTATTACCTTAAAAAAAAACGATGTTTATTACAACTAGCATTCGACAAATAAATATTGAATCAATTTAATGCTATGAAATCTTATCTAAGTTCAAAAGAAGTTGCGGAAGCATTTCCGAAGCCTTTTGTTTAAAATTTTCCTGGCCTTTAAAGAAAATTTTTCAATCTAATTCTATTATGTATTTTTTCAATAGATACTACTTGTTTTAACAAAAAAAGCAATAAAGTCTCTATGACATTCTGTCACAGCGCTATATCACAAAACAGAAACAATGCAGAACTTTGTATAAACCAAATGAAAAGCAAAATTTGTCAACGGATTGAAATGGGTCGACCCTGCGGATACATGTAAAAATATTACTCAAGCTGTGAAACCGATAAATCGTGAAAATACCTAACCCGTCGGCCCGTGACCGTCACAGGTCCAGTCCGCTCGTGAATCACGCGTCGGACGGATTCAATGAAAACGGTTCAACCCGTCAATATCTTTGGTTATGATCTTCTAAAAATGAAATGTGAACTTTTTAAATTTTTTTTCATTCAAACAATGTATGAATAGTATAATAAATCGATTTATCAAGTAAAACATATCATATGATTTACTTCTGCAAAAGAAAATCTCTGAAGATTTCTCTTTTATGACTGAAACACTTCTTGAATATACTTGTATTTATTTTTCTTATGCTTCAAAATAGGAAACATCAGAAAACTATAGTTAAAAAATTACATATCAGATGTGAAAGTAAATCTATTAGTTTAATTTACGAAATCTATTGTACTAAATATTGGCGGAATTGATCGAAATATTATAAAATGTCAAACCATGTGTAATTTCCTTCAATGATCTTTGATTAATCATTAGTCAACTCATAAGAAGAGTTATTCCTATCGAAAATGATGAAACTCCATCAAATGACAAAGCGAAGGAAAACTAAGCATAAGATTTTATTAATTTAACTTACTGATTATTTGAACATCTGACGTTGTAACCGTATTGGATGAATCTGATTCAACGTAACGACCTATAACAGAATAGTAAAATTGTTTATGAAATATTTCTGATTAATCGTTCGAAACTATATCCGACAACGTATTAGAGCTTTGACAATATAAAAAAATTCATTGTCTAACCGTTTAACTGCTTAACAAACAACACAATGAAAATTATTTTCTTACTTGGATAAATGGTAAGGTGTGTTGGATGCTCTTGTTGACAGTCTTGAATCTGACATTTCCGACACGAGCGTGCACATTTTGAGCAACAACATACATGACCGCATTCCACATGAATTATTGGGATATGGTTCTCTGCAGATCGCTTGCATATTTCATCCCTAGATTTCGATGATTTATTAAAACCTAAAAACAGAGGATGTTTTTCACAAATTTCTGCAAATAATTTTCAACAAAAAAATAACTTTATTATGTTTTCTAAAAGAAATGTCACTTTAAATTTTGTTAAACTAAGTTGCAATAACAATAGTAATACCAATGAGGAAACTACTTGAACTGGTACCTACTGTTCAAGCTCATATTGGATTCAAAAGAAGATTTCAGTAAAACTAGGAAAATCTTAAAAGGATTCATGTTTATGAATTTCTGGAGTCTCCTTATGACTGTTTAACTGAATTTTCGGCTCATTTTAAGATATTTATTGGAAAATTAAATAAAAGAATTTCGATCTGAAATTATGTCTATAGATTGGTCCAATGATTCTAGGAATATCCTGAAAGTTTCAATCGAAAACAATATTCCAGTTTTGAGATACTGAGTTTTCAAAAAATGATTGTTTGTCACAGATATGTTACCAAAATCGAATTTGCTTGAAACTGCAATATCGTGACAAAGGATTATTCTTTTCGGCTAAAACTTTCAGAGTATTCTACTGATCATCTGACATCTCAATTCTGAATCTTCATTTAATTTTGCTCCTTGAATTTTGATTATTAAATTTTGAGTTCAACTGTAATTCTAAAATTTCATGATTTTCTCGTTACAATTTTAAAAAAGATAGATCCATTTACATTGATCTCTAGAATTGATGTTTTTTCTTTTTCGATGTTTCTCATTTTCACTTGAAAAATCTCTAAGAAAGCAAAAGTTTGAAATCAATGTTGATATAAATCTATCGAGTCTAACTTTATCGGAAAAATTCTGAACTATGCAATAGACTCAGTTTAAAATTAAAGTTGTTCAACTTTACACTTTTTTTCTCTACAAGAACTAATATCCTTCATTTTTTTAAAGGAAAGTCATAATTAATAGTTAGTGCCAGTAAATCTCTTCCTAGTTATTGTAGAATATTATTTTTTCTTTTTCCCGACGTTTCGGTAGCCGATGTTGCCTTCTTCAGACTTAGTTGGTGGAAAATGACATGTGCTACAACACACACACACACACATTCTATTTTGTCTTTTTTCTTTTCTTTTCTGTTCTTTTCTCTTGTTATGATGATTTTGACAGTAGATTGGCAAGACTGATAGCTAGCAGAAGCGATTTATTATTGTCATTTTCTTCTCCGAACTACTATCAAACTCACCATAACAACAGAAAAGAGAAGAAAAAGCAAACAAAATATAATGTATGTGTATTGTCGCACATATTATTTTCCATCAGCAAAGTCTGAAGAAGATAACATCGAAATATTTTGATTAAATTCGAATAGGCAGACTAAACTTAAGAACTGATTGTAACACTTGTTCTTCATCATTGTAAAATTATATGTACAAAATAAAGAAAATCAAAAATAAAATGACGAACTGTATGTGTCATACTAATCGCAAGTATCTTAGAATATGAGAAACGTTTTTATCAATGTCGCTTACCACGATTATTATCACCTTGATCATTATCTGACTGATCAGCAGCCTTTGAATACATCTACAATGATACAAAAGCAGACATTTACAAAGAACCAAATTCAAAATTGAAAGTCTAATATAAACAGTAAACATAGTAAGATATTAGAGATCCTCAGAAGAGCTATAATATTACCCACTACTAACATGCCTCGTCAACGCTCGTAAACAAGTCCGATCGTAAAGAAAAGTAATTCGAGAGATTTAACAATTTTTTCGCGGCTCAGTACTATGATCCTATAACTCCGCATTTTCCGTTCTGGACACACGTCACAATCACTATTTTGTGTCCATCAGATCAATCTAATAAAGGAACTGGTCCAAATGTAATCCACTATCTGAAACCATATCAGACCCACAAGGAGTTCTAGAAAAATCCTAAAAGAGCTCGTGTTCATGGGCTTCTCAAGTCGAGTTATGTCCGTTTTACTGAATTTTCAATCTATTTTTCGATATTCGCTGAAAAATCCAATAATGAAGTTTCGACCTGAAAATTTGTCCATAGATAGGTATCTAATGATTCTAGTAATATCTTGAAAGTTTCAGCGACAGAAAAATATTCCTTTGTCGATATATTCGCTTTCTAAGAAATAGTCGCTTATCACAGACATATTAAAAAAATCAAATTTACTTGGAAACTCAATATATCTCGACAAGGGAATATTCTTTTTGGTTGAAACTTTCAGCATATTTCAAGAGTAATAGGACCTACCTGTGAGAGAAATTTCAAGTCGAAATTCTATTATACGATTTTCCAGTAAATGCCCAAAATGATTGGGAAAGTCAGTAAAATAGTCATAACTAGCTTCCAGAGCCTTATGAAGGGAAATTTTTTAGAATTGTTCTAGAACATTTGACAAATTGTATAATAATTGAATTGAGCTTCGATGTTGAGCATTACCAAGTAAACAAAGTATTATTATTGACTATTTCCTATTTCTACCTATGAAAAAAATCTCTTCAAATGACAATATCGAAAGATGATGCAATGGAATCATGACATATTGATCGAAAGCGTTTTTAAGACTCTCATTAGAAGTAATCATTAACTAAAAATATAGACTTGGTGGCATATTATTCTCAAATTCTTTTAAAAATTTCTCATAATATAAAGCTTAGATGCCTCATAATATTTGAATAAATAGATGTCAACACTACGCAATTTTATTATGATGATCAATGTCGATTCCGATATGCAAAAAAAATTAATTTGATTTCACAACATTATTATTTTTGAACATAATGTATTTATCCAAAAGATCTTTTTCCGTATTAGCAAGTCTAAAATACTTGCTTGGGAAAAGAACAAGTTTACCAGAATGAAATAATTGATGATGAACAACAAGAATTAATTCAATCGAGTGCAAGTACTCTAGAATTGTATAATTTTTATAAACTAATACCAATCAAAACAACGATTAGGCATCTTGGTAACTCCTAAAGATTGAATTAGCATTACATTCTCTTATAGGTTTGATAAATCAATCAGAGTAAATCAATTTTCGTATAATGTATTTCAATGTTAAATTTAGTTAAATAGAGATCTCAATTGATCACAACACTAAAAAATTCGTACGATAATTTTAATAGGACATGCAATTTTAAAAAATTCAAAACTTTGATCGAGTTTCCATCCAACATCGAACCGAAGCTATGCCGAAAATTTAAAAAAAAGAAAATAAAGCATATTACAGTTTTATATTATTTGATGATTTAAAATCTTGACAAATCTCAAATTGTAACTAACTTTTCTAACATTTCTGATGGAATAATGTTCGAGTTTTTTTTTTGACAGATTCGACCGTGTATAATCGCTGAGAAAAGCATCTGATGATAACTTTATCTTATATTTCATTTGCACGTCCAATATATCGACGATTTAAGTTTAGATTTTACTATTGTTAATAGTGCAATAGATCCAACACAAATAAATTAGAAAAAATTCATTCGAAATTCTCGATGAGTTTTTTCGTTTTGATTATTGTATTAGTCACAAGCAATCATTATCATGAAAATTATATGAAATTTTGACAAATTATTTAAGTAGCTGAAAGATTTGAATTTATATGAAAACGAAAAGCTTGTTGTTGTAGCATTTGAATTCTGATGTATTTATCAACAGATTTTCTTCTTATGCATCTTATACGTTTTACCATTTTGGAACTGTATACATATTCAAAATACATCTTCAACAATAAACTCTCATATATTGATTTTTATATGCAGAGTGAGTATAAATAACTAGGCGATAAGAAAATTAAATATATCCATTAGATATTGACTGAATGAGCTGAAATTTTTCGTTCGTAATAAAAGCTTGTTCAAAGTGTTTGTTTCATACGAGAAACATTAACAAATAGTGTTTTGAGAAGAGAACGTCACATGAGACAGGATCTACAGGATAGTATTTGATTCTGGTAGAACGCTCAAGCCATCTAATTGATCATGATCCAATGAAGTTCTGGTCTATTAGTGAAATTTGCCTTGATTTTTCATTATTGTCAATAGTAGCTAAAAGAGTGCATGCCATATTAGCGACCATATTTGCTCAAATAAAAACATATTTATCACGAAGTCAAATTGATAACATATTATTTATTCGTTCATACGAGAAATTCAAGAACAAACAGTAAATAGAAAATTTATCCAGTCTTTTTTGTCATCTGTTTATATTGACTTCATTGTGTATCCTGTATTCTTATCTTTGTTTTCTTATTCTTTTGTTGACTTCATTAATGTCAAGGTTCTTGTTCTATTTCGTTTCGGCTAAAAAAAATTTGATAAACAAGTTTTAATCCTTGTCGAAAATGCAATAAAAAGATCATTCAGCAGATATGACACAGGAGAGTCCTTTATCCTGTAAAATATGTCTTGCAGGACAAAGTTTTTGATGCCGTTCCCTGTGTCTTGCAAAACAATATGACTGAGTAATAGTGTCCTGCAAAATGTACGACATGATAATAAAAATCGTTCTGTGATGTTCTCTGGTTTCAAGCTAGTAACATCTACATCAATAAGAATTTATTACTTGTGCTAGGTCTAACTTTAACTTTTATCTGTTATCTCTTTATTCCTCTCCTTTCTAAATCCAATGACAACTATATATATAGGCACAACGAAGGAAAAAATCCATGAGTTGGAAAATTCCATAGATGATAAATAACGAAGAAAAAAAAAGTAAATCTTATATATGTGAAAGACAGAAAAGCAAAAATCCAGCGAAGAGAACGAAAGAAATCATCCGAGGACAGGAACAACATATAACATATAAGTAGAGATATGCACAGGACCGAAAAACACTTTCTAGTCCCGGTCAAACATTGACCTGCTATTTCATTAGCTGCATTCTTAAATTATTCTGTAACAATGCATTGTGTGGAGAAATTTTTGCTCTTCCTGCCTGTATGTTTTAAAATATTTTACAGATTCTCGTTATGAGATAATTTAACAAGTATAATGACCGGGACCAAACTAGTCTCGGTCCCCATCCCGGTGGTCGTCCCGGTCGACTCTGACACCATTTTCTCCGGCTATGATAATCACATAGTGTTCGCGTTAGCCTTATATTGTAGAGGAAAGATTTCTCTACAAAACGCAGTTTTTGAAACTTTATTATGCTTCGAGGCTATAGAGAGATTTTCAATTCTAACACCGGGACCAGAATTAGTCATGCACATGTCTACATATAAGTAAAGGAAAGAAAGAGAACAACAAAGGTAGTGGAGCAAAGAATACATATGTCACGACCTAACAACCTACTACAGGCTAAAAATATGTTCCGTCATGACCTATATGTATATCTAAGAGGTGGATCGACATCCATGTTTTTTCCTGAATCTGAAGTTTAAGAATACATACACTTATGTTACATTAGACTTTTATTGTTTACATGTAAAGGATCATAAACAGAAGAAAAGAAGTTAATAATGATTCTTGGAGTCATTCAATAGGTTTTTTAGCCTGTAATAGATGAAAAATCCTTGATGATGTGGATGTTACTAGCTCAAAGCTCCATTTGCTACTATTTCTCTTATGAAAAAAAAAGAACTTTGAACGAGTCTTTATTATTCGCAAAAATTTCAGTTCATTCAGTCAACGTCCAGTGGCGATATTTGAATTTCTTATCGTCTAGTTATTTATGAGTCACCTTGTATATAATATTCTTAAAATTTGAATGGATGATCGTAGATACACGCTTTATTTGATTATAGTAAGTGGTTAATAAAAAGAAGTTAATACTTGATTAAGAAAAGAGTTTAATAAGAAAAAATTCTAAGTTCGAGAAGTTATAAAGAAATGATTAAGTGCATGTTGGAAAAATAAACTAATAGATATAAAAAAGAAGAAATAACACCACAATGCACTGAATAATAGAAGAAAAAATAAAATATAAAAAAACGTAGAGAAGAAAAAGTAATGTATGACTAATGTTATATCCTTTTTTTCATTGTATTGATTACTGGAAAATCAATAAACTATCTGATAATTATAAATCCTTCATATTTCCATTTATAGAAACATACAAAAATCCAAACAAGCACGTTGGATATCTGCATCATATTGTTGACGTCGATCAATTTCACTTGATTGAACACCAATAGGTACGTCATTATCAGCTAAAAGACATACTAAAGTCATTAAAATTTTATTAATAATTGTGATATTACAAGTGCATCATAATATCTGAATAAGAAGAAAAATGATGCATACCTCTTTTTAATTGTGCCGGAATATCTGCCATAAAGTGAGGAAGAATGAGATTATGAATATTATTCCCTGGTATGGTGACTTGATGTTCGTGTTCTTGTGCTTCATTGGATAGATGAATATCATCATATCCAACATTATTACCTAAAAATGAATTATAATTAAAAGATGTGAATTTTTTATTTTTGAAAATGACCGTTATATTTGTCATATTCACTACCTTGATGTTGATGAAGAAAATCCAAAGTATTTTCATCGATCTGCTGGTTTTGAGTCATTCTTGTTATTGTCAAAATGTTTTGATATAATTTCTATAATAAGAAGAGAAAAAATATATTCAAAAAGAACAAAATTTAACATTCAACACTAATAAATTCGAATTTTCCTCGGTAATCAGTATTTTTCACAGAACTTTCAATGTTGAACTCATTTAATAAACAAATCTTTTAGATGCGCAATTTAAGGAATCATCAAATATCACACTGTGTGAGGATAATGGGAAGTGTGCATTATGTAGAACTATCGTAAAATGACAGAGAATAATTTTGTATTATGCGCGTTTAAGATTTGTATAGCCCTCTCAACATGGCAGTCAGGTAAATGAGAAAAAGAGACAATCAGAACATACTGTTTACTATCACTAAATTCTCTAAAGCAATCGATATTTTTCTTGACTATATTAAATAACATATGGTAGAATAGTCCGATTTTTTCTTGATTAGTACTCATTGGAAATTACGATATAGTGATAAATTATTGCTATATCTTTGTTAACTACAACAAAATAAAATATTAAAGTGACATAATATTTGAACGAGAAGGTAGATGCCGCATGTATACTCAACTGTATAACACGAGCCGCAACCGTTATATACATACCTACGACAGTGACAAGATTGTAATGAACGTCTTGTTGTTTGATGGGTGTACAAAAACAACATTTCAGACTTGACTTTTTGAAACATTCGATTGTAATATTAATTAACTGCAATGATTCATATAGACATATTTTACAAAATAATGGAAACTTACTTTAAAATAAGAGAATCATATGCGCCACTATAGATATTTTTATTTAAGACATTCCGTAAATATCTATTCAGGTCATCAGTCAGAAGTAACAATAAATACACTCAAACAGTTTCAAAGAAATACGTAAACTTGATGATGAACATAACAAAAAATGAGTAAAATAAACTTTTGCGTTCTTGATGAATTCAAGGATGTAGTGAAGAGAAAAAGGTGAGGGCGATGAAAGAAAACCTTTTGAGAGCTGAAAAGGTACATGTGCAATTATGTAAAATGGCCGGTTCGCTGAATTTTCTTTTTTTATTTTACGATCTTTTTCTAATGAAAAATAAGACTTATCGGAAAAAAATGAAAATTTCTAAAAGTGCGGGGTGAATACACAGCCAGTGAATGCCACATCTCTGTATAAAGTTGGTTACTTGTCTGCTGTAAACTGTTTTTGTATGTTTAGTTTTACTTCTGACTGATGATATGAATAGATATTTACGAGACATCTAAAAAAAATAATGCTTTTATCAGCGCAAATTATTCTCTTATTTTCTATTAAATGTATTCACTATCATTTTATATTTCAGTAAATTTAATTGACCTACATTTTTGAAGAATAAGATCGATTATAATTAATTCTGATATTGAACTATATTATCAAACGTTGAAATGGGAATAAAACCTTTTTATGTGAGTACTTTCTCGTAGTGAACAATCTTTGGTAATCCAAAGCGAATTTGACTGACAATAAGCCTGTCAAATATGAAAACATTCTCATTCTGATCATTGAGTACTTTGTGTTCTGGTTCCATAAACAATACCAATTTCAGCAATATGAGAAATGCATGTTCTATCATGCACCTATGGGCTTTGAAACAAAAATGATATGTCAATTATATCATCATAAAAACTTCCGGCACCACACATATAAGATGAAGATGAACTAAAAGAATGTTCTAACTTGAACATTCTCTCATTTTATTTTTCTTAACCGCTAGCAACATAATACAATGTTATCACATGTTGATCTGTGTCGATCTAAAAAGTTTGAATTGATAAAGGATTTTGAACGATTTCTTCGATATTTGATACTATCGTTCAAATAAATAAATTGAAAGATCGAGAATAAGAAAAAAAATAAGTAATGAAACTATGTCAAAGATAAGTAAAGCTGTCAATATTGTTCAAGAGCTATCTTTATCTTTTATTATTTAATGTTAACTGTACCAAGCTATAAATGATATTGAATCAAAGCTAACAAACATCTATCTCGATTCAAAGACTTTTCAAATGATACTTCACAATTATTTTTGAAATGATTACTTTTGTATTGTAGAAGCATTGCTATTTTTTGAAAAAAAAAAAAGTTGAAAATTTCAATAAATAAACTATTTGAAAAAGATAAAAGACCACTATTTACAAACAAAAAGTGACAACAAGTGAATGCTTATAGTTTTGCACAAAAGATGTTAAAAATTTTCTAGCAATAAACACTTTCTTAAAGTGAACACTTTTAATCGGTCTCAATGGTACTCACATTTGTGAGGTTTACCTATAGTCATATATATCTTTGGGATAAAATTTCTTTTTATTGACCATCTATAATTCGAAAGACAAATACACATATATAAAGCTTTGATTTTTTCTCATTTTCTTTTTTTAATCATGTCATCTTAAATATTAGTAATTGACTACATATTCAAGTAATTCGATACTTGTTTTCATATATATTAACTCTGATTCATGATGAAAACTACCATTTATTATCAGACATTTCAATATCATGTATTTTCTATTGATTCTATTTATTTCTTTTCCATTATTTCACTGTGAGTGTAATTATACAAGTGAATGGTTTAATGAAAATCATCCATGGGATATTGAATCAGATGGAAATGATATTGAACGTTTTTCACTTATTCGAGCAAAATATCCATTAATATTTGAGTTTAATGAATGGACAGGTTTATTTGAAATACGAAAAGCATCTTATCAACCAATAACAAATCAAACAATGTTAATTGAAAATTATACACAAATCTATGATGGATTTATATGTCATGCTATAAACGGAAAACAATGTATTGATTATGAAGTAAAGTTTACATTTTTTTAAATTTCAATTAAACATTTTAGAATTAATTTATTTGTTCATTAGATACGTTTTTGTTTAGACTATAATGCATGTAGCATATCAGCATATCCTCCTTATGAAAATCATATGATGAGTGGTATAGAAGCTCGTCCCTATTCATTTCCATGGTATGTTTCAGTTCAATATAAAAAAATACATAGATGTGCTGGAACTTTAATTGATAATCAACATATTATAACAGCAGCAAGTTGTTTTCAACGTAATCTTATTCCTATACCATATTCAGTTGTTCTTGGTGCACATTATCTATTAAATTCTACTTATCGCGTTTCGATTGAGCGTTTTATATTTCATTCTGATTATAATCTTGTAACATCAGAAAATGATATTGCTGTAATAAAACTTAGCGAACGTATTCAATCATTTACTGATCGTATTAGACCAGCTTGTTTAGCACGATCAATTCGACAACCTCATATGTCGAATCCATTGATTGTTGCTGGTTGGCGTATAATACCAAATAATACTTGGTCTGTTTCATTTTCTAATGAACTTCGACAAGCTATATTAACAGTTATGGAGAAATGTTCTTATGTTTATAATAACTACGATTTGGACAAACAAGTATGTGCTGGTACGCGAGGTTCGAAACGTGACTTATGCCAAGGCGATATTGGTGGTGGACTTTTTGAAAAACAAAAATATGATGTTGATCGATGGATTTTAACGGGTATTGTTAGTTATGGATGTGAATATGCACAACAAGGTTATCCAGGTGTTTATGTACGCATTAGTGCATATTATGATTGGATTCAACAGACTATTAAACGAATGCAAAAAGAAAAAATGCAATAAATAAATAAATAAATAAATATGAACTTAATTGAGTTCTTTTAAGCAGTTTTTAGCATAAAAAATTGTCATTATTATCGTTAAAATGCCAGATAAAAAATAGTTTTGCAGAAGTTTTATTAAGATAATATTCAAATAGTTTCATGTGATAATCAAAGAAATTGCCAATCCATATTTAAAAAAAATAGATCTCTTAAGGTTCCTTTTGAATTTTGTTTTTCGTATGTATTAAAAAATTCACGAAAAATTTTAAACAAATAGTAAAAGTACACTGAAGGAAAAGTAAACATCTTGTTGATATCGATGATTCATCACATGAGTGATTGTCAGTCAAGACAAAAAATATTGAATCCGACGATTTCGGGCAATATTTATCTCTAGATCTTCTGGACTGTGAAAAGGCAAATTCGATGATAGAATTCATTGCATTGCTTCCATAATCTAGACCTACTATTAAAGACAGTCAAAGAACGTATCTCCATCTAGTTCTTTCCTTCATTCGAACCATAACTGTTTGAGTGATAGAGACTAGTTTTTGTGTCGATCGTACTAACCCATTTCCCAATATTAATAGAAAAAAAATGAATCCTTTCACTTCTCGTCTTCCGCATTATTTTAATACGATAATTAATAGATAACTATAGGTCTAATTACTTATAATGTTTACGGGTTAAATTCGAAATTGGTATTATGTTGTAATTTCAATGATAACTTTTTAACATCAATCACAAACAAAACGATGCACATAATGTTACCATCAACACTAATTTCACTCGTTAGTGTATTAGCTGCTTAGCATTGAATTATGCTTTTACAGTAATCAGCTACTTAAACAACTTTTAATTCATCATCAAGACATGAACCATGTAGAAATTCTAATAATATAACATCAGAGCCATGATCATTGTTACTTAATCCCACTATAATGATACTTTCTGTGACATCGTTCAGATATGTTAGATTATGATTATTTATATTATTACCTAAGCAGAAGACATCCGTAGTTTGATCAGCAAAAATATTTTAAGACTGAAAAAGATGACTAGACATCGACATGATGAATTACGATATAGATCGTCGGAATAGCATTGTTGTGTTCGAGACAATGTAGTAAATTCATTGATTGATTTCCAATCAGATAAAAATATCTGATCACCATAATTAAATGTATCAAGGACATGCAATCGTTTCGTTTTATTCATGAATAAAAATTCTATTGAGATAATTAGGCTTATTAGAATCAGCATTCGATGTACCGCTGTTATATTCAATGGAATGCACTTAATTCATCTTCGCGGACAATAAAAAATGATAAGAGTCTTCATTTTTGATGATAACAAACGAAAATTGCAGCTGAACAAGTGTATCTTTGAATTAAATGAGTGAATACATACAATAGAGATAAAATGCACTGTATGGATTAGATGAGAAAATATTAATTTACTCACTGACTGATCTATATGAACATCAGTATCTGCCATAGTCTAGATATGTATATAAAGATGATATAAACTCTGCTAGATTGCAGTAGATCGGGATGAATTTTGACAAAAATTTTCCTCACGTTTTCATTTAAGTTCGATACAAATTTTACATTATTTTATGATTCATTTAAATTATAAACTTGGTTATCTGAAATAACTCATTTCTTTTGCTGTCATTTACGTTCAATCTTTCTCGCATAAGAATTATTGAAAATCTATCTTGCTCAATAATCGATTACTTATATGTTTGTCAGAATGCTTGAACAACATAATGAGCGATATAAAATTAAAGAATTAAAGTGATAATTAACCAATATATGGCACTTTTATTGGACATCTAGACTCCTACAGTTAGAAAGTCTGATTATGAGGAACATCGATATTGTTATTAGCTTAATGTATAAGATTCACAGTAGTAATCGTAAGCAGTTTAAAAAAAAGATTTTAAATATAACATTCAATAAAATCTTATCAATGTCAAATCTTTCCTTCTGTTAACCAAAGTATTTGTAAGAACAACAGATTAGAATAAGAATAGTTATGCTCATTTTAAAAAACTATCTGATTGATCTCATGCTTTCTTACCATTCACATTGAGTACAAAACGAATAGAGTAATTCATTGAGCTAATCCACTTTCGTCCATTAGTCTTTCCTACTTAATATACTACTTAGAATATGATTTGAATTAATAAGTCACAAATGATAGCGATTAAATGTATTTTTTTACTTTAACTTATTTCTCAAGCATCCACGATGTGAAAATACCGCAACTTTACATGCTAACCATAATGGTGCATATTATATGTAGTCCTGACTAAATAGGTTACTTTCGTTCTCTCTATTTTCTTTAGACTTTTTATGAAGACTCGTTCAATTGTTTACAGTTAAAGAATTGTCTTCACTGGAAAAGAGTATCATTGTTGTTCTTGAAATATTAACGGTGATTGTAGCTTAAAAACCAAAAACTAAAAGAAATTCAAAATTGCATACTGCGCTTTCATAACAACAAAAAGAACAATTACAATCTAAAGGTATTTTGATAGCGTTATATGATGGAGTTTCGACTTCAAAGCCCAATCGATTGATGCGAGCGATGTATTCTATTGTTTTGACTCTTACGTTAGCAATGAGTAATAGAAACAGTCATTTTCAAAATTAGTATCCATCAATTGATTATTTTGATACAAAATTGTACGACATGTCACTATCGGAACTTGTAAGTGAAGCTTTTCCCAATACCTAGACGGAGTGTGAAGTTTCGAAATTTCATTGGTTTCATTTTTTCCAAGTCAACATAGAATAAATCACATTTCAAGAGCAAAATAAGGTCATTTTCTACAGCCAATGTTCCTTTTTTTCTGACGTCTCAACAGAATTTTTTCAAAAATTTAAAGAAAAAACTGAATGAATCTAGTGTATTCAACATGAATTACTCCTTAGTTTTCGTCCTCCTATGTATCATCAACAAAAATTGTTAATACCTCATATTAACTTTTATGAGCAAGAGTATATCGGTATGGGTGAATGAGGATGGTTATACATGTAGATGTTGGATGTGAGTTGCGTTGGTGGGCTTAAACGAAGAAACTCCTCTAAAGCCATCCTCCATATATCTCCCAATTATATACTTTCTGAACCCTCCCGTTGACATAGTAAAACGTCCCTTGTCATCTCTATATTCTTCCATGAATTGTTCATAGATTGTATTAAGTATGCTTTCTTATGCATCAAACATCACGATAAATCAAGCGAAGACATATATGAATGCTTCTTCTCGTATCGATTGCCGTTGGACCACGTATAAACGCCTTAATCTGCTGTCGTGTCATCGATCCAATCGTCTGTATATTTCTGCTCGCTGACATGGCAATAGGCCCCTTTTTNCCTTGTCATCTCTATATTCTTCCATGAATTGTTCATAGATTGTATTAAGTATTCTTTCTTATGCATCAAACATCACGATAAATCAAGCGAAGACATATATGAATGCTTCTTCTCGTATCGATTGCCGTTGGACCACGTATAAACGCCTTAATCTGCTGTCGTGTCATCGATCCAATCGTCTGTATATTTCTGCTCGCTGACATGGCAATAGGCCCCTTTTTCATGCTTTTTCTCGTTCTTCCATTCTCCTTAGTCTTAGTTTCGCTATGATGTGGAAGATCTGACAGGTTTGCATCAAAACGAAATACCTATACTTACCGGCATATGATATTCGAACTATAGTTTCGTATTTGTTTCCATTTCCATCAGTCCAGATTTTAAATGTCGAAGATTTGTTACTTGGCAGTGCTTCTTTGTAGTCTAGGAAGCGACTATCATTTTCTACATAATCCATTACAGAAAGGTACTCACTCACTGAAGGCTTCGTTGGTGTAGTGACGTCCATATTTACAAAGGATAATATTAATTTCTGATCATTTCCATCTGCTACGTCACACAATTATGTCACGTTTAATTAAGCATGATCTAATGCATCACTGAGAACATGAAGTGGAGTACCCAATGGAAGAATAACTTCGTTTTCTTGCAGAAAAATATTATATACTGATATAGCTTTTCCATTCTTCGCTTCAATCATGAACAATGTTGATATGGTTCCAAGAAACTGTTTGACGACTTTAACTGAAGATGAACATGAACTGTAACACAACCAAGTTAACACATCACTTTCTTGGTAGTTCTTACTAATGTCACCATTGATACCACGCCATCAGTTGAATTGAACATTGAGTAGTTTTTTCAATGCAGTGTCAAATAATTCGAGATAACCATGCCGTAATACTAATACTGATCGATCTTTCTCACGCAGTACTCCGTTAAGTACTCGATAGAGACTTTGTTCACCTCAATCCATAATATATAGGTAGATTGATGTTGATTCTTCGCGAGTAAGATCATGCTCTGAAGGAAAATGGCATTCAGTTTGTGCAATTTTAATAAATTCTTCTAATTGGTGTATTTGGGAGACGATAGGATTGAGAGCTTCTCGAAGTGAAAGTAGTGGATGAGTGCGATATCCATAAAAAGGTGGAAGTTGTGGTGGCTTATGATCAACGTTAGTGAACTGAAGCATTATTATAGAGTATGTAGAATTCCTTTGTTGATTTTGATGATATTGTGTTCACTTGTGACAAAGACACAACGTAAAGATTGTGATATTTTTAACTTTTCAGACTTTTTTCTTGTGTGCAATTTGAATTACTCTACACCTTTGTATATGAAACCAGCAAAAGCAACATTCTCTTTTTTGTTTGATTCTCTTAGATGGCACTGGATTTCGTCGATCAGATGTAAGATATATTACTTTAAAAGTGAAGATCTTTTGTTGACACTGTTTTGCACAGGCATATACTTTTGATAAAAGAAACAGTACAATGAGAGATAAGAAAGAACAATGCAGCAGCAATGTAGAGAATAGCTAAATAGTAAAGTGAAATTCGAAATTAATGGCTTTATGATTATACAAAGAAAAAACGACATTCATTTTAAAGTCAAAAATTCTTTTATATAGATTACAAAATTTGATATTTGTAATTCATGTTTTACACTATAACGTGAAGTTTTGAAGTTAAAGAGTATTGTAACGCTCCAAAAAATTTGAGATTATGTAAACCATTAGAATTGAAAATGTAATTCACTAAGCTGACCAAATTATGCATCTCGTTTTCTTTTAAATTTTACCATTCAATGTGGTAATTTCGTTTGAGTCGCAAGATCTACTTCTGATTATAAAGATGTTTAGTAATATTTTAAAACAATTATGCATAATTTCAAATTTTGTATGAAACCGCGTTTATTGTCATATTCAATAAAGTTCTGATCGTCCTTTATGAATCAATGCAATATAGTTTTCATTCTTACATTTTGAGACATATTTTAGATTAAGTTCTTGAAGATGAATGAAATTTAGATCAGTAATTTTTGTCAGAACATGGGTTCATTGGTTAAAATCAAATCAATAACACTATGATTGAATGTTCGAAGTATTTCTTTTACGTATAATGTATAGAGTTTGCTTTCTCTCTTACATATATGTACTTAGTAACAAGCCAATCATAATGGTGAAGCAAAACAAAAAAAAAAGAAATTGATCGTGTTGCGAAAAATGTAAGCAAAACAATCGCCGATCATTTTCTACAATGACAAAGAAAAAATTCAATCGATACAACATCCTGTGAGTTGTGGTATTCATGTTTTTGAAGTGGTAGATATTCGTTTCTCTTTCGCATAAAGTTCTTCTTTGAAGGGCTAATCATCGCCTTATTACTTATTGGTAATATATCAGTTTGATTAATAAGTCACACTTGGAATGTTCTCTCGTAAGTGGAATAAGCATTTTTATGTCTTAGACATTTATATGACAAACATGAAATACACTATTTCATTACTCATTATGACTCTTCGTCATCGCCTTATTTATTTAAATGAAATATAAATATCACACATGCTACAACTGCATAATGTGATGAAACAATCATAATAGTTTCATTATATTCCAAGTTATACTAAGCACCATAGATAAAGTTATTGGTGACCTATAAGAAAAATCATATTTCGTAATGTTGTATTCAAAGTTTGCTTGACTTATTTGTATATTATGGAATTTGCTAAACATATAAGTAAAAATAAAATAAAATGAAAGAAAAAGACAAGAATATTGAAATTACCTGTCGATGTTTTCGAAGTTGTTGTCAACGGTGCTTGACATGGTCGATTATCAATCAAAGGAAAAAATTGAACACGATGATTTCAGGCATCACTCACATATAGATTGCCATCATTATCAAATGCCAAATCGGTAAGATGATGAAATTGATTATTTTCGTTACCTTCACTTAGTCATAAAAACAATTCATTTTTTCTTCTTCGCATAATCAAATATCAGAATCATGAAATTCATTTTTTCCTTAATTATTTCCAAAAATATTTTCGAAAATTATTCTCATTGATAAGAAAATATAAATGAAATGATAATAAACATACCATTATCACCAGTGGTAGTATCACCGTCAGTTTCACCATATTTCCAACGTTGAATTCTATTGATCATTAAATCAACTACATAGACTATTTTTGTTTCTTCATCAACACGTAAACCATATGGTCTATGTTAATGATGCATAATCAGCACCTGGATTACCATCACTTGAACCAGCTACAGTTATACCTTATAATGCATTTGTTCGTCATTTTTGCATGTGATGATTTAATTAATAAATCGGCTACATACAATGCATTAGTAGTTTTATCAACAAATATACCTTGTGGTTGATTGAGTTTGTCAGAGCTTGGTCCATTTATGTCTGATTCACCAGCAACTATTATTGTAATATTCATTAAAATTCCATTTTTCACAAGGACTAACACTAATTGATAATAGACATGATGTAAAGCATAAAAAGAGAACTTAAATACAAAAATAAAACATTCAATAAATGTATTTTAAAGTATTTTTACATACAAAAATAAATGACAAGTATCTGCTTCGTTGATGGTGAGAAGTAAAAAGAAACAAGTATAAGTTTTAGATAATATATGAATCAAAAAGATAAGTAGTACATCTCTAGTCATCATATACAAAAAAAAAAGTCAGATTGAAAGTTTTATTTCTATAAACATGAAACTAACGAAATTGAAAACGATTTGTACCAAGTCAAACATTGCTGAGGCCTGTCAGCCCTATCATAGTGATCACGAGTCGAATAAGGCCGAAAAACTTCTATGCCTGTAAAAATAGCATGAGAGATAAGTCGAATTAATTCTTGAAATGAAAAACTAACAAAGAAACAACTCCAACTGATTCCGAGCTTTCAACTTCATCTTTTGGCTATAAGTAGGTTCCAGTGAGACTAAGAAAACCCTAGAAGCGTTTGTGCCCATGGAGTATTAGTGAAGAGTTATGGCCGTTTTACTGGATTTTTTTAGTCAGGACCAAGTATTTCCGAAAACCTTAAAACAAATAGTTTTGACCTGAAATTTTCCCCATAGATAGATCTATTGGTTATTAGAAAGTTCTGAAAATTTCAAAGAAAATGAACATGCCTTTCTTGAGATATTTACTTTCCAATGAACTTGACAATTTGGTCGTCCTGTAATAAGAGGCTGTTTGTTTTGAAAAATGAATATCTCGAGAAAGGCATGTTCATTTTCTTTGAAATTTTCAGAACTTTCTAATAACTAATAGATCTATCTATGGGGAAAATTTCAGGTCAAAACTATTTGTTTTAAGCTTTTCGGAAATACCCGGTCCTGTGTAAAAAATCCAGTAAAACGGCCACAACTCTTCACTAATACACCATGAGAACGAACTCTTCTAGGGTTTTCTTAGTCTCACTGGAACCTACTTATAGCCAAAAGATGAAGGTGAAAGCTCGGAATCAGTTGGAGTGGTTCCCTCGTAAGATACATACATGGACACTACAACTACTTGAAGATTGTCATTTATTAACGTAAGATTTCACAAGTAAAATACTCACTAATCAATTTCAAAGAATGGTTGTTTACTAATATCAGTTACACGGTTAATACTCTTCCATTTCAATAATACTTATGTCACTTAATACAGCTGATCGTACACTCGCTCTTGTGCGTGTGGATGAAGAATGTCATTTCAATTGATTTCAGTCTTTTGTGAACGATGCATAAAGTTGTATTGATTAAAACTACTTTTCATAAAAACCGAAATTAAAAGCAAATGAAATCTAAGCTCAAAAATTGAAATATCAGATCATTTCAAGACTTGATACCTATGAATATTAACTTGAAAACAAAAAAAACTTAATTAAATTATTTTACAGTCATTTGATAATATAATCATTTCCACGATTAATATAGCAAAGATAGAATTAGATCAGACAATCGTTAATAACAAGATATAAATGATATGATTTTTCTTCTCCATTGATCTCATTTGTCACTCTATGGAGATATATATATATTCTTAGCTTATCATAAAAAATAAATGAGAAAACAGGAATGCATTAATACAAAAAAGTGTACATCACTTAATTCACATTTTTTCATTTCATAGATCATTCATTGTATAGCTTCTTTTTGTTATGACGTTTGTCTATCACATCTTTGTGTCATTAATTTTCAATTGAAAGGATAAATAGTAAAAAACAACAACTGTCAATTAATTATCAGACAATCGTTTTATTTTATTTTTCTTTTCTGCTTTGTTAAACTCGTTTTTTTTTGTTACTTTCTCGTCTTCGCGTGAATAAAATTTGAACGTAATGAAAAAATCTTCTCAATAGATCAAGTGAAGCATCAATTAAATAGACACATCTTGACGATAGAAGTTGAACATGAGTAGTAGCATTTGCGTTGATGCATATGTGTCATTCAAATAGAAAATTATGATTACTATATACATCTGATGATGAATGTAAATGGAAGCGCATATATGTCTATATAGATACACCTTCAATTTTTGTTTAGAATAAAGACAAAGTGTCAAATGAAATAATGATGGAATGTGTCAAATAAGAGAAGAAAAGAAATGTCTTTTCTCATCTCATTTATCCATCCGGATGCATTCTCATTGGTTATAAAACATTTTTTATAAACCAATCGATGAATTTTTTTACAAGGAAAAAGAAAAATGAAAGTCAACAGATTGAGAATAATTATGACAGTAATATTCATACAAAAAAAAAAAGAGATAGAAAGTAAGTCGAGTTTAAAATAAATCAATTTTTGTTTTTTTCCATTCTCTCTATCATCATCTAAAGTGTTAATGTCGGCATAATCAAAGACACTCTCTTTTTCTCAATCGATGATGATGATCTTTTTAGCAATGCATATACCATTTGCTAATTTTCTTTTTCTCTACAATCCCGAAACTATTTCATTATGTCACTAATCACTTTTTATCGAGGATTATATGGTTCATATGATAAAAAACTTTCTCTCTCTCTCTCTTTCGCTCTTTTTTTTTCTCATCAGAAATTCAAGTAGCACATCAGAGAAGTTCAGTTGACTGTAAAACAGTTTAGCATCTGCTGTTAGAAAAAAAAATAAATAAAGCAACAAAAAAAGAAAAACAAAACATTGGACATTTTATTTCTTAGATATGGAAGAAAATTTAATGATCAATGATAATCGACATCATGATAACAGTTATGTATCAACATGTACTATACGTGGTGTACCTATTGTAAGTTTAATTACTGATGGAAAAGAACGTTTATGTTTGGCACAAATATCAAATGATTTATTAAAAGGCTTTAGTTATAATGAAATACATAATCGACGTGTTGGTATGAAGAAAAATAAAATTGTAACTCGTGTGTTTATATTTAAACTTTTTGATTTTTATTAGCATTAGGTATAACTTGTGTTCAATGTACACCTGTTCAATTAGAATTGCTTCGACGAGCAGGTAAATACTTGTTAATAAAAGACAAAAGATTATAAATTTTTCTATTCATTTAAAGGTGCTATGCCAAGTTCATCTCGACGTTGTGGCATGATAACTCGTCGGGAAGCTGAACGCTTAGTTAATTCATTTCTTGAAACAACAAAACCGTTAAATTTACCAGAAAATTTTGTTTTTGAAGTTTATCATCATTGTGCATGGGGATGTCGTGGTTTATTTATTCCAATACGATATAATAGTTCACGAGCAAAATGTATCAGGTTAATTCTTGATTATCTATCTTTATATTTTGAAATATTTTCGAGTCTTTTCATTGTTTATTTATTTAAATTTAGATGTTCATTTTGCGATAGTTTTCTTTCACCAAATAAATTTATATTTCATTCTCATCGTTTACCAAACGTATCCTATGTTCAACCGGATAGTCCAAATTTTAATGCATGGCGTCGTCATTTACGTTTACATAATCCAACACAAAGTGAAGATTTACGAGATGCATGGGAAGATGTCAAAGCTATGTTTAATGGTGGTAATAGAAAACGATCAACATCGGGAACAACAATTTCTGCTAATATTTCAAAATCATCAACAATGAATAACAATGATGATGATGATTTTATAGATGAAAGTCATGAACAAAAAAAAGATATTAATGAAGAAGATAAAGAAGATGATGATAAGATTGAAAATAAAAAAGAAGATGATGATAAATTAGTTTTACCAATTCCACCACCAGCAAAAGTACAGAAAACAAAAACAAGAGAAAGAAAAATACCAACACATAATGTTGTTTCATCAACAACAACTGATGAACAATTACCTGATATGAACATGTTTTTACCGCCACCTTTACCAACAACACCTTCACTACCATCATCACATTATTTTCCTTTTCCACCACCATTACCATCATCAAATTCTTTATCTCTCGTTACTCTTAATTCAACGGATTGGTTACAATTTTTTCGTTCACCATTATTTGTTCCAAGTTCTTTTCGTTTACCATTATCATCTATTCCAAGACGGTTTCCATTCGAAATTAATAATCATAATCCATCAATTATTGGTAGTGGTTCACATTCAGCTTTTAAACCACCGATTCAAAAACATGAATAATAATATTTAAAAAAATACATTTTTACGTTGTCATTTATTTCTGTTAGCTGTTTGTAGTCAAGAAAATAAATAAATACTGCTGACGAATTATATTCATTGTTTGACTAAATTCTATAACCCAAAGATCGTATAGCAACCGAAGTGTTGTCAAATCAAATGGAATCGGGCAAAAAAAAAGTTTGCTACAGCTATCACATTTCTTTATTTGAATTATTTGAGACATGTCTTTTTTTGGATTGTGTCCTTAAGAAACAGCACTTTACACGAACGTCACTGTCATTTGTATTACTTTCACAATATATTAATGATTATTTTTGGTTGCTATTGAAGTTTCATAAGCAGTATTTTTTGGCTTCATGTGTTGAAACACAAGATACATTGATGTATGATATATTGTTGTAGAGCGCACTCTATATAAAGAAGAAAAGAAACAAAAAAAAAAGAATTGTTACTATGTTGTTGTCCTGACACGAACTATAATAATGGTAACGTTATTATTTTTTTAAGACGTAGATGATGACTATAGAATAATCGATTAAATAGAAAAGAGTCTTTTCGCATTTGAGATATTAATCATGGGATCAACTACCAAATCCGACATGGACCGAATTGGTCTATTTAAAGAAATGGAATATGTTACAATAAAAGATCCATTTAAAGAATCTGCTCGTTGTGAGTTTAATTAAATAAAATTTAATTTATTTCTAATTAAAAATTTATTATTATTAATTTTTTTTTGTTTTTATTTTAAAGTTACTTTCAATGAAGCAGCATATAAGAATAAACAAATTATGAGTAAAAGTTCTAAACAACGATCAACAGGTTCACTAGCAGGATACTTTGATACTCAATTTAAATTATTACCTGGTTCTTATATTGACCCTATATCGATGCGTCGTAAAGCACGTAATGAAGAAAAAAAGAAAAATATTGTTAATAAACCATTTGTTAGCATGTATCGGCCTAAAGATCCGTACGTAAAGACTAAAATAACCTTTTATGATAAAGAATTTGCAAAAAAATATATAGTTTCTTTATAATTAAATCAAATTATATATGTTTTAGTGAAGGTCTCGGTTCATTTTATGGAACAATTGGTGGTGCTATAAGAGATGTCGATCCAGCCAAAGCAAAATATCGCGAACAAACAAAACCACCAGCTGAAAAAGCAAATTTCAAAGTGAATCCACCAAAAAAAGGAACCGGTTATGGGTATATTTATTTATTCATTGAATTCTATTTTGAATTTTTTTTTTCTGTCAGTTATCCTAATGTAGGTATTGATAAAGATCCTCCATATGCTTATAAAGATAAAACAGACAATTATAATGCATCATTAGATGCTCAACGAGTAAGAGAATAAAATTTAATTTCTCTATTTGCGATAAGATTCTTTCATTTGACAGAAAGATTATACTCATCATAAATCTTTAATGAAAGCTGGTGTATTTAAATTAAATATGCATCCAACAGAATATTTTGATCCCAATCCACATCGTGAGGATGGTAAAGGTAAAAAAAGTCGTAGTGATGCTAGAGAACGTTCAAAATCAGCACCATCAGATAAAAAACCATTTAAATATAGTTCACCTGGCAAATCGGTTTGTTTTAATCCGAAAACAAAATTTTCTATTGAAATTTTTCTTTTTTTTTTTCGTTATCTAGCTTGGTGGCAATAAAGATGGTTGTTTTGATAAATTTCCTAAACGTAGTGATAAAGACCCTTATGTTGTTGGTACAATTTATACTCAAGTTAAAAATGAAATGAATAAACACGGTAAAACATATTATCCAAATAAATTCCCTAAGACACGTCCAACTGGTTCAGTTATACATAAAAATATTGATTTAAAAATTACACGACAAAATTATAAACAAGCATCTCAAACTTATCAAGGATTTCAAGTACCACAAAGACGTGCTTCTGCTCATTAGAATTTTTATGTTTTTTATTTTTTTCAATATATATATTTTAAATGTAAGGTTCTAATAATTGATCAAATTCTTGACGTTCTTCACGTGATAAAGATTTTAAATTAAAACCACGAATTTCTGGTTTTTTTTCTGCATCATATAAGATTTTAATATTTTCTTTTAATTTTTTTTCTGCTTGATTTATTTCAAGATTCATTTGATCGAAATCTGAATAAAAAAATTAAAAAAAAAATTATTTAAATTCTAGAAATACTTCTGCTTTCTTTTTTTTTGTTTTGTTTACCTCGATCAATTAAACGTTTACAATCTTTTGTTGGTATTGCAAGAAAATTATTATTTAAACACATCCAATTCATTTTTATATTTGCTGGTTGTTTATGAATAGCTCTAAAGAAAAATGAAAACATAAAATATTAATTAAAATTTTATCATTAAAAAAAAAACATACCGACTAGCTTCACGTAATTTATCACGTCGTTTGTTTAATTCAATTATTTCTCGTCGTTCAGCAAGAACATTTTCAGCTAATAATTCAATTTCTTCTAAATATTTAAGAACAAAATCTGAAGTATCATGTACACCTGCTTGTGCAAGACGTATTTGTTGTTCTTGATGTGTCATCTAGAATCAGTTGAAATTTATTGTTTATCATCAAATAAATTATTCGACTTGAGAAACTCTTAAGATTTACAATTATTGTATTTTGTTCCTTAATCATCTAGAAATTCTCATCCCATGTCAACATTTAATGAAAAACTTCTACGACTGTAGAGTATGAAATGTAGTCGGCGAGTTCTTCATTTAGAACGTTATCGTGTTTTTTTTTAGGCCCACGCCCCTGACAGAAATCTATTTTTGTCCGACAACGATCGGTCTAACTGAAAATTTCAGACAATGTATGTTCGAATCTTAACAATTCAGTAAAAATTTTGGCTCAAAATATTCATCTATGATAATATCAAGAGTCGAAAAGTAGGCCTTCGTGTGAATTAACGAAACACAATATTTCCAAATATTCTTTCTTTATTTCTAATGAAATTTTATCTTGAAGAAATTGGAAAAAGGCATAATAAATTCGTTAAATCTCATTTAAACATTGAGCATTGTCGAACCAGATAAAAATCTTAAAAAACAAATTTTTTGACAAAAATCATGATTTCCAATGCGAAGGTAGATGGATCTTAAATTATAGCAAGAAAAGAAAATTCAGAAAATTAAATAGATTCTTGCTATCTTGCGTAAAAGGGTGAAATTATTCTGAGGTTTTTCATCGTATTCAATTATCATCTCGATAGATTATTATAAGCATTGAGGATCTAATAAATGTTATTAAAACTAAAATAAAAACAACGTTCTTTTTGTTTCCCGTTGCTTTATCATGATGATTCTAAACAAATTTAGTATTAATAATTATTAATGAATATGTATATTTTAAAGCTAGTTCAAAAACTAAATAATAAGCAAAATAATGAATGGTGGGGTGCAGGATATTGTTTGCCGTTGGTGTTCAAATAAGAATGCTAAAATTTATTTATTTGCCAGCATTATTAACTTTTTGTTGTTCAAGAACAGCTTCAATATCCTAGAAAAAAAAACAGGCAATTAAAGAGTTTTAAACAAGCAACAAGAAAAAATAATTTTTTTTCTTTTACTTTACGAAGAATTTCTTTTAATTGTTGATAAGCTACATCAAGTTGATCATTTAATATAATATGATCATACATGCCAGGTTCTTTACTAAATTCCATGGATTCTTTTGCTTCTTTTAAACGTTTTTCAATAGCAGCTTCACTTTCAGTTTTTCGACCACGTAAACGTTGTTCAAGAATTTCATAACTAGGTGGACTTATATAAATAAATAAGGCATTAAGATTTGTGCTACGAATATTTTTAACACCTTGTTTATCAACATCAAGTAAACATATACGACCTGTTTGAGCAACATCTTCAACAGCTTTTTTACTAAAAACAAATATTCATTTACAAAAAAATCAAGTTCTTTGTTTTTAATTTAATAACCTTGTTCCATAGAGATTCGATGAGAATTCTGTTGTTTCAAGAAATTCTCCTAGAGCAATCATTTTTTCCATATTAGCTCGAGGAATAAAATGATATTCTATTATAATATAACTTAAAAACTAAATATTCCATTAAAAAGAATATCTATAACATACCTCGGCCATCTTGTTCACCTGGTCGAGGTGATCTTGTTGTATCTAAGAAATAATAATACAAATCGAAACAATATTTAAATATTTAAAATTAACATACGAGATATACTAAAAGCAAATGCTGTTGGATATTCTTTAAAAAATTCAGTAATTAATGTACTTTTACCAGATCTAAAATAAAATTTTCTTTGTCTACAAAACATATTTATTTGATCAAATAAAGATACTATACCCGCTTGGTCCAGACAAAACTATAGCTCGAGGTTTTAAAGCTGCTGTTGGAGGCATCTTTGGTCGCACTCGTCTACTTATTCTAGAAAAAAAAAGAACAAAAATCTGAAGTTGAGCAGTTAAAGCATAGATGACAAATATGATAGTAATATGACGATGGAAATAGTGAAAAAGAAAAAGAAAATAGCAAGAGTGTTGCCGAGCACATACACCTTCAGTCATGAGAGAAAAAAAAACCTTCTGCGGATATTCGCATGAATGGAAGAAAAAGTCTAATGCAATTTATTCATCTAGATTATTATGGATTATAATTTCTCATTGATAATAAAAGTACTGAACCTAAAAACTTTTCTTTTTCTTATAGATTACGGTAAATAGATGAAATTGTTGATTTGTTATATAGGAAATTATTTCTATGAAATTTTAATGCTGTACTTATAGGAAAAAAAGAAAACGTGTTTCATATGTTCGTTGAAACATAAAATAATAGTGTCAATAAATATTTTTCATTTTCACGAAAGAATACGTTTTGTTTTTTAATCATCGAAATACATTTAACATGATTATGGAGAATATTCATAAAATTTTATTACAGTTTTGTTGTATAAAACGAAAAAAATATTTTTATGGTGCTATTACTTTATAGAACCTTGCCTATTGATTGAAATGAGAGAATTTTAAAAGATGACCCTACATTCTAATAATCAAAAACGTTGATTCTAGCGGCTCTTACCATTTCTATTTTTTCTCCTACTTGGACAACATCCACGACGCATCCAAAAAAAGAAACATACAAGTATTATTTCAACACACTGTCAGTTTGTCTTGGAAAGCCTATATCATGAATCAATTCATTAGCCTTATAAGGGATTATTATTTCAATTTGCATGTTTTAGAAGAAAGAAAGAATTAATAAAGAACTATATACTTCTATAGTTAATTGACATTGCTCACGTACCATCGATGCGCTCCATTTTGTCATTCACAGAAGAGATATCATTATAAGCGAAGAATTATTCTCCATTATTAATATACTGAAATACACTACAGGCGGAAAGTCTTCTCTGTAATCAAGTCTGTATATTGATTGGCGTAATTTATACACACAGAATTGCGTAAGAGTGAGGGCGCTGTGATTAAGCGAGGATTTTTCAAAGAAACTAAAATGGATACAGCAGATAATTCAAGGATAAGTCAATTAATCTTATTCTTTTTAGAATAGTAAACGTTTGACTAAATGAAGTAAGAATCTCCATATATCTTCGTATAATATAAGTTTTAGATCATTATCATCGTAAATTGCTGTGTTATTACAACCTTAATATGAAAAGAATAAAACGTTTTTTGTTATAATTAATAAAATACACTAGAAAACTCGAGTCAGATTACGAGCAGTGTGAACTATCACGCATTCTTTTCTTTGTAACGAAGCAAGACTGAAATTTTGATGTCTATTTAATAATTACTTCAACTTATCAAAGTGAAAGATGTGAGCTATTAACTGTTCAAACAAGAAAATTTCCAAATTCAAAATCTCAAGAGTCTTCTACTAAATGACTGAATGTCTCGAACCATATATTTCTAAACATGATTTATCAATTTGATAGATTTGAACAACGCATTTCATTTTTGGTATGACTTGAAATGAAGATTCTTCCTTTTAAGTGAAGAACTGTACAACAAATCTAAATCAGATTAATTAGAACCTGCTAAAATTTACCTTTTGTCTTCAGCAACTAAGACTACATGCCTATTAAATATTTTTAACAGTAAACAAAATCATCATACAATCTCATTCTTTTTTGTAGGACATTTCTGCTGAGTTATGTAATTTTTTTCAGTCAAACAGATCAGAAATTCTTTTTCTTTACCCTAAGATCACATGTTTCTTCAAATTATCATCTATCATTTTTTAAACTTCCATATGTGGATTTCATTTAGAAAACAAAATGTTGAGCATACCATACGCTCAAAACATTTCGCCATATATATTTATAAACACATATGACAGAAAATCTGAGAAAAGAGCTTTTCATTTATATGTCTTTTTTTATACAATAAACGAAAAAAAAATAATAAACAAACAATTGAATGATACACTATTCAAATCTCATAGAATCAGTCACGAAAATTCGACGATATATATTAACCAGAACATCCACGACATCCACAATGAACACATTCAACAACTTTGCCTTCTTCTAATTTTTCTTTTGGTACACGACAAATACATTTTTTATTAAAATTTGTATCACGTGGTTGAATACANTTTTTATACAATAAACGAAAAAAAAATAATAAACAAACAATTGAATGATACACTATTCAAATCTCATAGAATCAGTCACGAAAATTCGACGATATATATTAACCAGAACATCCACGACATCCACAATGAACACATTCAACAACTTTGCCTTCTTCTAATTTTTCTTTTGGTACACGACAAATACATTTTTTATTAAAATTTGTATCACGTGGTTGAATACAACGAAGACAACAAAGGTTTTCATAACCTTGTTTTTTCCATTGCGCTAAAAAAGAAAGAAAGAAATTCGAATCGAATATTTATTAAAATCTATAATTTACCGATTAAATTTTTATCACCCATTGATTGTTTAAGACAATAATCATATAATTCTTTACTTATTGTTTTACGTTTATAATAGAGATCATAAATATAACGTGATTTTTGATGATGAATTTTAAATATTGGCCATAATGTTTCAACTTTACGTTTACCTTCATGTGGTGCTAATTCAGCTTCACGCATTTTAGCTTCTAATTCATCTAATGTTGGCTCAATTAAATCCCTAAACAAAACAAAAATTCAACAAATATAACTTTCTTTCTTAATGTATCAAACACAAAAAGAAATGAAACTTACCATCCATCTGGTGGTGGTTTAGAACCTTTCCGAACTTTGACCATCTTTCGTTGTTAATACTAATAAATGAATCTACAAGATAATTGTGCAATAGTTATATTTTATTTTGCTTGCGCAATACATTCACACATAGTTCTTGCTGTTTTTTTTAATATTATTTTTCTTTTCAATCCTATCTTTTTTTTTGTTCTCTTCGTTGCTCTCAAACAAACTACTACATTTCTTTTTTTTTCTAATCACGCCCAAAAGAGAGAGAGAGAGAGAAACAAAGAACAACAAAAAACACACACAAGCATACATAGGCATTACAGACACACGCACACATAGAGAAAGAAAGAAAGACAAAAAGAAAAAGCACGACTATCAATAATATTGTTCTGATATTTTTGACGACAAATAAACAAGAGTCTTATTGTTTGGCTCGACGTTTAGCTTTGATAACGTGACGCTTGTTTGTAGCATCTTCACTGACACTGAAAGGACTAAAATATATAACACAATAAAAAGTAATTTATTGGTTTTTTTTTTCAAACTACTCTTACTTATTTTCAGGTGTCGGAGTAGCTACAGAAAAACCAGCTGAAAATGAGTTATTGACGGTTGTTGATGGTGTTGCACTAAATTGAAATGGAGTATGACTTGTAGGAGCTGTTGATCCTGCACCAAAACTAAATGAAGGCGCTGCACCGAATCCAAATGTTGGTGCTGGTGCTGCTGCTGATGATGATGATGATGAAGGTGCAAATGAGAAACCACTTGTTGTTACAGCTGATGGATTCGATGTTTGAATAGGATTTGTAGTTGTATTTGATGTACCTCCAAATGCAAACAATGATGGTGCAGTTGATGTTGAACCGAAAGCTGAAAAAGATGGTGTTGAAGTTGATGATTTATCCGTTGTTAAAGAAGTACCAAATGAAGCTGTTGCACCAAATGCTGGTGTAGGAGTTGTACCAGTTGATGATATAACTGCAGGTGCAAATGGTTTTGGTGAACTACTAGCACCGAAAGCAAATGTTGTACTACTTGATGCTGTTGTTGTTGTTGTTGTTGCTGCTCCTATTGTTGGAAAACTGAAACCTGATGATGATGATGATGATAAACCACTACCAAATAAAGGTGCAGCTGATGTTGTTGCTGTATTTGTTGTTGTTGTTGTTGTTGCTGTTGCTGCATTGAAAGGTGTTGGTGTAGATGAAAAGCTACTTGGAAATACAAGTCCACTTGTTGTTGTTGCTGCTGTTGCAGGGGTCGGTAAAGTTAAAGAAGTAGTAGTTGTCGTTGGTGCTGTTGCATTTAATGGAAAAGCAAATAAATTTGAAATTGTTGATGAAGGTGCAGTTGTCGCTGTTGTTGATAATGATGACGATGATGATGCTGATGGTAATGCTAATGATGGAGCTGGATTATTTGCTCCAAATGAAAATAAAGGTGGTTTATCGAATGAAACTGTTGAAGTAGTCGCAGCTGTTGTTGCTGTTGAAGTACTACTAAATGTTCCAAATGTGATTGATGTTGTGACTTTTGGTGGTGATGATGGTGTTGTTGTTGTTATAATTGAAGGTACAGTTGAAGTTGTTGTAGTGGTATTTGTTGATGTTAATGAACCAAATGATGATGGAAATGTTGAAGTAGTATTTGTACCAATTTGAAAAAGATTATTTGAAGTAGTTGTTGCTGGTTTATCTAAACTAGCTGTTGTTGTACCAAATAAAGGAGTAGTTGTTGCACCAAATAATGGTGTAGCTGTTGTGCCAAATGAGGATGTTGTTGTTGTTGTTGTTGTTGTTGCTGAGGTTGTTGAAGAAAATAGAGCACTAGTAGTCGCAGGTGGATTGGTAACAATATTTTGTTTAGTAGTAGCTGGTGTTGCTGTTGATGTAGTACCGAATAATGGAAGAGTACTAGTAGTAGAAAATGGAGCAATTGTTATTACAGCTGGTGGAACTGAAAGTGTGTTTTCTTTAGTTGTTGTTGGTAATGATAACGTAACATTTGCTGTTGATTCGATTTGAACAGCTGTTTGAGAAGTAGTAACAGGTTTTGGTACAGTATGTTCTTCAATAATAATTTCAGGTACTTTATTTGACGATGATGAAGAGGATACTGATGTAGATTCAACAGCTAAAAATAAAAATAAAAGATATTTGTTCTTTTGTTTTTTTAGTTTTGATTGATAGACTAACCACTTAATCGTTTATAATTTGGATTAATTCCATGGCAAAGTGAACATGATGCTGTTTGAGCTGGATGTTCCATTGTACATGAAGGACATTTCCATACTGGTCCAATAATTGGTTTAGTTGGACGTGGTGGTGATACACTAAATATTGGAACTTTTGGAATTGTACTACTAACATTTGTTTGTGGAACTATTGAAGGTGCAGTATTAACATTTGATTTTTCAATAACAGAAGAAACAATTGATTTTGATGCTTGAGTTGGTACTAAAAATATTAACATGAATAAGATTTTCAAAAAAAAATTCGAAACAATTACGTACTAGCATCAGTATAACATTTTTCGAGATGTTTTTTTGCATAATCTTCTTGTGCTCGTGCAAATTTTGGCCATGAAAATGGTGTTATATTGCCAAGTACCTTGATACAAAAATATTCGTATTGAAAAGGAAAATATTTTTTTATTTTTCATTTACTTTTGGTTTTGTAATATCATGTATTGGTTGAATTGGTTCAATAGTAATTGAACTATTTGTTTGAATCGATGATTCTGTTTGACATGTTGATTGTATTTTTTCAACAATTGGTACTGATAATGCTTCATTTCGAATATCTGGTGGTGGAAATGTACGTTGAATCTTTTTACTTGGTTCTAATGAATCATTTGTAGCTGAAATCTACACAAAAAGAGATTTATTTTATTAAATTTTGACAAACAATGTTTTTCTTATCGTATGAAACTTACATTACATTGAATTCCACATTCTTTTTCAGGTGCTTTTACTGGTTTTCGTATTGGTGAAGTAGTTGTTGATGTACGTTCTTCAATTGTTGATATAGATAATCTAAAATAAATATTGATATTTATATATATTGTAATGAGATTTTTCGAATAATTACGGTTCACTATCAAGTGTTCGATTAAGACGTATACAATCTTGTAATGTTCGTCGTCGAAGTCTTTCAATATAAGGTAAACGCCGTGAATTAATTGATGCATAATTAACACCAAACATTTGTCTTTCATTTGGTAACTAAAATACAAAGAGATTTAGTTCTTTTCAAAAATTAAAATTAATCTTTTATTTAATTTTACTAATCGATTTGTTGAATTAGATAAAGATTGTTGAGTATTTTGTATTGCTGGTTGAGATCGATTAACTAAACCTGTTGCTAATAAATAATTAGCGGAAAATTCATTCGTCTGAAAAAATAAGAAGAAAGCTTTTTTTTTTGTAAAGAACTTTTCATATTGTTTTCTTTTCTGATTACAAACATTTGATTTGAGATTTGTTGTCGTTCGATTTGGTGACATGGTTGTTTCAGTTGTTTTCTAACATAAAAATATCATCTGTTCTTTTTTTTTGTGTCAGACAATGAAAAATGACTTACTCGAATACCAACAGAAAAAAGAGGTGATTGAGATGGATCATAATTTGATATTAATCCTCGATTAGTTGAAGGAATATTAAAACGTTGTTTAGATAATGTCAATCGATTTATTCCTTCATTATGTTTTTTTTCAGTAGATGTTTGAAGAAGAACAGATGTCGTATTAGCTGCATTGAATCCATTATCTATTATTCGACGATTTGATGACGATTCAACACTGTTCGTCGAAGCTATTAAATTTTGATAACAAAAAAGAAAAATAAGAATAAATAATTGATGAAAAAAGAAACGATTAGACATACTTAAAGGTAAAGATGTTTTTTCATCTTCATGATTACCATTCGTCGTTGTCGTCGAAATAATATGTTGATAATTAGCTGTACGACGTCGCTTCTTCTGTTGTTCGATTTCTATTAGATCTTGTTCAGTAGGTGATACATCTCGATTAGAGTTATCTTCATCATCAGTTAATTGTGGTTCGTCGTTTGTTATCGGTTGACGATGATCTATCATGATAAAAAATCAATTGCTGTTAAATGAGAAATCCTTGTTTTATGATTTGAAAAGCGTGAAAGTAATCAAATTTTTCCTTTTTCATCGACTAAAATACCATTATCCAATATTTAGAAAAAGAAAATATCTTACATTTTGATTTAGAAGTTGTCGAATGACCATTAGTAGTAGTTGTCGTTGCAGCTATGGTGGTGGTAGTAGTGCTTTCTGGTTGTTGTTCATCACCATTTTCTTCAAAAGATGTTTCTCGTTTTCGTTTCTAAAAATCACAATTGAAAGAAACAAAACACCTAGTTGTATTTTCACTTACGGGACGATTTGTATCACCACTGGTCGAAAATAAGAAAGAAGGATGAAGAAGTTTCGAAACGACATCTTTAACTTTATGCATCATACTCTGTTAAAAGAAACGAAGACAATGTTATAAATACATTTTCTAAAACCAAACCTCATTATGTTGATTAAAAGATGAATTCTGTTCATTGTCATCATCATTATCAGATTCTGACATAGGAGCAGAAGTAGAATGGTTATTACGATTAGCAAAAGTTGGCATTATTTAAAGATGAATTAAAGCAAACTTAAAACATGTGAAAATCAAAAAGAAATATGCAAATATAGGAATATGAACAAAACAATGGCATTTAATGAATTGTACTTACATATAAAGGGACAAATGTAAATACAATACTCTTATATGATATCTAAAGAAAAAATATATGAAGTGAGATTTGGGAATACATTGTTAGAACGAGTAGGAGATGACTCACAACTATCCACTAATATTCCTTTCGTTCGTTGTCGCTTTGCGAAACAAACAACGAAAAAGAGTGGCCATTGTTTGATATATCAAGGACACCAATAAAGTGATTTGAAGATTTACATATAATGAGTAACAAAAATATCATTTTCTTTAACTCAATATTGAAATACCACGAAAAACAAAAACAGTCTTTTAATACTGATGTATAGATGTCTCTAGTTGTTTGAAAGATCTATGAACGAATCTGAAGATTAGAAAGTTGAAAAAGGAAGAATGAAAGGAATTAGGATAAGAAAGTAATTCAACTTCTTTAAAAAATGACTTTTTCTCCTATATAAAATGATCGCTCGGAATAGTTACGATTGACCATTATTTATCATATAATGGTATCATTCAAGAATATCATTTCCAAGATCATAGCTTTGACTAACTATTGGTGAAAATTTTTTTGATCTAAAACATTCGAATTGTTTTATCAAAAATACTAAAATCATACTATCTCATTTTGCGATCAGCTCATAAATATATTCTATTAATATGACAATATACTTCACCAATAAATTTTAATTAGTTATAATTAGAAAGTTCATCACTCACGATTTCTGATGCGTTTAGTTACTTGATTAGGATTTATACTATTTCATAACACAGTAATATATTTATTTTTCAAAACTGGCTATTAGTCAATATCAGATAGTAGTATACAGTGTATAGCTAATTCTATATGAGAGATTGAGTAGAGAAAAAACGAATAAATACTAAATGCCGAAAGAAAACAAATTGTTATAGCGAATGACCTTGTTTGTTGAACGATAATCAATGTATAATAAGCAACAACTACTAAGAGATAGTCACATATTAATGAAAAAAATGACAAATTAACATCGGTATATATGGCAGATACGCTATATTTAATAAAATCATCAAGAGTTTTTTAAAATAAACTATATTTGTGTATTGTCCAAGGGTGAATAGTTGAAGATCTATTTTCAATTTCCAAAAAAAGAGTTTTACTATATATAAAATTAATGATTACGTAGAAGAAACTCAATAAATAAAAAATATATATTAATAAAAACAATAAAAAGAAGTTTGCTGAAGATGAATCAACGTCAAAACAAAATCGTCATTGGATTATTAATGATATGTGCTGCATACTATGAAGTTTTTAAAATATCACTACATGAAGTTCACTAAGTTTATATAAACAAATAATGATGATATATTCAATGAAATAAATATCAGAATTAAATCATTTTTATTCATCATTTATCTTTTATTATCAACTTTTTCGATTGATCTAACATTTCCAAATACGAAATAATTATTTTTATATATAGAAATCTTTTATTTACCATAATAAATTTTTTCAATGAAGAGAGAAAAAAGAGCAATAGTTAATATTAATGTTACAATAAGAGCAAATGATGAGAAATGTACAACTTGCTTTTCTAATAAATTTTCGTCAATTATATTGTTAACAATCAATGAGATAAATTCAATCGTGTTTAATAATTTGCTAGTTGCATAAATTAAAATCATTTTTCTTGCGCCAACTTTATTTGACTAATTAATAAGAAAGATAAGCGAATATCGATAATTTCAACATAAACGGGTATTATTTCTATTCTACTATTTTTAATTATGAACATGCATAGAAGTTGGTTTTCACCTATTGAATCTGACTTTTTTTCTCATATGATAGTTTTCTTTTTTCTACTTCTATATTTTGTATCTAAAAACATAAAGCCTTTTACAGATGAGAATCGCATAAAAGTACATTCAGTTCCTTTCAACAAAATACATAAGAATTCAACAAATCACTTTTGGTTTTTTTTTCACTCTTTTTCTATTTATAATAATATACCACGTTTAAATGTATTGATTTTCTTTTTGTTCTTTTTTGGTTAAATAATAATTAAACTAAAACTCTCAGTTTTCTCAGTGTGAGGAAAATAGTCCATCAAACATTAACATATTGTATTCTTTCCATGAATACTTTGCTGTCTCAACGAACACCATTAACTAATATTTCATCTGCTATTACTGTGTGTCTCACTCTTTTGACAAGACAATAATATCTATCTATAATGAAATATTATAATATGATTAACAATTATTTTTCACAACAGTCACCCAAAAGTATTAGAGAAGTGTTACTATTTGATGGATATACTTTTGCTTATCAATTGTTTACACAAATTTCTCAAGCATTTACATTGATTAAAGTATCTTTTTCAACTAATTCGACGTTACACATAATGTCAAAAATCAACGAATAACAAGCCAAATCTTTCATTCATCGAATATCTGTATATCATTATATTGCGGTTTAATAGCCTTCATGAGGTCATGTTGATCATTTTCTACTTGCTCAAATAAACTATTTAGGGAATTATTTTGGATTGGTAAATGTACGTTTTTAATTGATTGAAATTTCAATCAGCAAGAATCGGGTTGATAGAATTCGATTGGATTACTAAAGATTATATCTGTTACAACTGAATAGTAATTAAAAATTCAATTTTGCTTTTCTAATTGATCGAAAACTTTAATCAACAAAAATGAGTTTGATCGATTTCAATTCGATTACTAAAGATTACATCTGTTGCAACTGAATAGTAATTAAAAATTCAATTTTGCTTTTCTAATTGATAGAAAACTTTAATCAACAAAAATCGGTTTGATCGATTTCAATTCGATTACTAAAGATTATATTTACTGCACTGTAATTATAATTAAAAAACCCATTTATTTTTTTTATTAATTGCAATCTCAATCAAGAAAAATCCAGGTAATGGATTTAAAATTGATTATTACAAATCATTTCGAGTGTAGTTGAATTTAAATCAGTTGTCATCCAGATAGACGAATGCGAAGGTCGTATACGCTTGTAAATGATCGTATTTTGATGGTTTACATGGTTCAGTATTACGGTCGTATGTCTCCGCATACGACACGGAGATATACGATCATAATACTGAGCCATGCAAATCGCCGTATTTCTCGGTATACGGTCGTTTACGAACATGCTTGTTTGACCTGAACAGTTCATTCAAAATCTGAATCATATTTTATCGATTTCTAAAAGTAATAATAAAATGAAACTGACTATTTTCGGAAGAAGAAGATTCACAGGAGATAAGCACAATATGTTGCGATAGCAATCACAAAAGAGCTTCATATATGCAGAAGTCTTATATAGAAAAAGTAAAATTTGCATACGATTGATTAAAATCGTTTAAAGTAATCTATATAGTTTAAATTGATTTTTTGATTGTTAATTAATTTTAATTGGTGTCTGATGAATACACCATCTCAGTTTGAAACAATTTATATATTAGTTCCAACTTAGCTTCAGTTGTCGGAGTTTAGCTTGGTGGCAATTGCACGGTTTCTAAACGCGAGCAATCAAAACAAATCACAAAAAACTTAGGGTTTCGTGTTCGTTCACCGAGAAAAGTGCATATCTGCAATGTGTATAATTAAAATCGATTAAAGATAAGAATATGTAATAAAAATCAGCTAAGAACTAAGTGTTAATTAAAATTGGTTAAAAGGTAAGAATAGACTTTAATCGATTAACAGGTGATGCGAGTTTGAAGCAAACTAGCATAAAAATAGAGCAGATAATTCTTGTGTAAAAAAAATTGGAAAAAACTGATATTAATCGATTTTTTCGTCATGTTCTGCATGAGAAAGGTTTCTACTTAGTTGTATTTAATTTTTCTTGAAATTTTAATCGATTTTAATTGTTAAAATTTTTCACTACGATGAAAAAACAATAATAATATAGAAAATATGAAGTTCATTGAAATGACCGTCAAGAACATAGAAACAATCGTTGAAAATATGCATATTCCTATGCAGTTTACTAGAACTACACAAGAAATAGTTCAAAAATGAATAGCTTGTTGAATATCATTCGAAATGATTTGATCATTATTAGAAATTGAAATAGCATATAGTGATGAACAGAATAAAGATAGGTGTA